TTGATTTGGAAGCGATCGGAAACGGTGGGGTTAAAATAGAACTGCCAGGTGCCGTCGATATTGGTGACCTTCAGCAGAAGATCGTTGAGCCCTTCTTTCAGGTTGAGCGTGACGAAGTCTTGATCGGCGGCGGCCCCACGGCTGATATCGCGGGCCAACAGTTTTTCGCCGTTGAGCCAGACAACGATGCCGTCGTCGCTCCCCAACGAGACGCGGACGCTGGTTGCTTTGCTACTCTCGATCTGGCGGTGCAGGTAGCATACGCATTCGTCGGACTGACCGAAGCGATTCAGACTGTAGACGATGCCATCGCGGAAACGGGCCTTCTTCCAGTGAACGTCGCCACCCTTGCCTTCGTACGTGGCTTCGAGATCGATTTCTTCCTCGGGCGGATAGACGGCTCCGAACCCCTTGCCGCCGGTGTTGTCGAAGGGGCCGATGATGTGCCAGGTCTTCGTCCAGCCGGAGTAGCCGCTAGCTTCGAGCGTGGCCTGTTCGGTTTCTTCACGGCTGCCCTTCTTCACGTAGACCATGTCGGTTTTGGTCTGTGCCAGCAAGGGTGTGCCGAGCGCGAGCAAGGCCACTGCGAAGAAAGCGGCAATTACGCGAGTGCCGGTACGGGAAATCAGTTGCGAGACGATCAATTCGAGCTCTCCGTGTTCGGCGAATGTTTGATGGTGATGGTGCTCGCGGGTTGTTCGCGAAGTTCGGCGATGGCCTTGGTGATCGCCGCCGGCGTTTGTTCGCTGGGCACGGCCGTGTTCACTGTGACTTCAACGCCTTGCTTGCCGGCAGGAAGTTTGAGCAACAAGCGAAAGCCGGCTTCGGCTTTGAGGAGCACCCACTGAGCATCAGAGAGTGTACTACTCGCGCTGACCAACAATGGGGCTCCGGCTTGTGTCAGTTCGCAGATGGATCCGGAGGCCGAGACCGGTTGATCCGGCTGCAGGGTCTGCGTTTGCCCGTCGCTTGCATTTAGCTGCGGGGGTGTTTCGCAGTCGGCCACGTTCAGCCACACGAGTGAACCGTCGGTAGCGTCGATGGTGGTCTGCCGGGTTACGCCTCGCAGTGTGGTGCTGGCGAAAGTTCGTACATTCTCGCTGAAGTGGGCCAGGCGATGGCGATCTTCGGCCGGTGATGTGCCGGGGTGGGCGGCCACCGTGTCGAACAGTTCGTATTTGAAGATTGGTCCGTTCGGCGTGAGATGATAGCCGTGGAAGTCGAGTCGGGTGGGGTAGAATTTCTTGTCGTCGGGCAGCATGGCCCCTAGAGCGATGTCTTCGCCACGGCCTGTGAACTGCGGCGGTGCGGCATCCCCGGCGGTGACTTCCCACGGGAAGCCTGCGGGGGAGCGCCAGAAGATATCGCCTTTGATACCGGCCTCGCGTCCGCCGCGTTCGGTCCAGACCGGGTTGAGGTCGAGGAACTCACCTTGCCAGGCATAGCCCAGGCGGCAGGACTGTGCGTCGTAGGTGAGATGTATATCCGAGGGGTAGCGAATCGCCATCGAACGCGGAGAAAGATTCGGTAGAAAGGTTCGCATCACGCGAGGCATCGACGCGGCGGCAAGTTCCTGAGGAGCCGAAGCGTCGGGCATGGCTTCAATCAACTCGGGGCGTTCGGCGGCCACGCTGAGAAAGGCCCACATGGCATCGCGTTGCCGTTGGGGATCGCCGCCGAGAATGTTTTGGTAGGGGCTTTGTCCTTGGAAGAAGACCGTGGGCATGCGGGTGCCGGGTTGCATGCGTTGCGGGTCGGTCATCCAACGGCAATACCAGTCGTAGTTCACACGGCTGGGAACATTGGCCAGGTCGGGGCCCCGGGTGCCGGTGCCGGCTTGTCCGGCGAGGGCGTGACACTTCGTGCAACCGAAGCCCTGCGAGCCAATGAGGGTGAGGCCGGCTTCGATCAGAGATTCGTCGGCGTCGTCGGCCGGGTTCTTCTCGACCAAGGCGTCGCCTTCGAGGGCGGCCAGCCGCTGGGGCATGGTGGACATCGATTGTTTGGGGAAGCCCGGCATGCGGAGATCCATCCAGGGTCGGGCTCGAGAGCCTTCGACGAGTGTGCCGGAGAGTTGGGGTGCCAGGAGCTTGTTCACCACGCCGGTAAGAGTGGGTGGATGAATCAGCTCGGCCGCGGCTTCGGTCTGTTCGGCGAGCTGTTTGGCCGCGTACTCGGGGGTGAGGCCGCCTTGACCGTTGTAGTCGTGGCAGCGAACGCACTGGAAGCGTTCGAGAGTCAGCAGCCCTTCGTGGGCGGGAGAAGCACTGCCAGTCGTTTCCGGGAGCATCGCTAGGAAGGTTCGCAGGTCACTGCTGTGGCGAAGTTCGTCGGAGAATCGCGGGGTGCCCTGCCCTGGCGTGATGTTGTTGGCTAAACAGCCGAGCGATGCTGAATCACTCTGCACAGCTTGAGCCACGGCGGCCATGTTAGCCTTCGCCATGTGTGGCTTCTCGAGAAGCTTGCCACTTGCACCGCGTACCTCGTGACAGTTGATGCACTGCTGGTCTTTCAGGGTGGTTTCGGCGAGTGTGTTGATCTTGGCGTTGAGCGAGAGGTCGTCGAACGCCTGAAGGGCTGCGGAATCTGGCCCGGTGCTGGCGAAGGCGGTGTGAAGGGCTTCGGCCGTGGGTTGTGTGGGTAACTCGAGGGCGACGGTTTTCTCGGCGTCGCGGGCGAGCAGGTACTGGGACAGGTCTTGAGACTCATCCTCGGTGAGGAACATGTGAGGCATGCGGCCGGAGGGATCGATGGCCAGCGGGTCTTGAAGGAAGCGGGCCAGTTGCTCGGGGGTGGTCTTTTGCGAGAGGTTTGTCAGCGTTGCGAGGGCCGGGCGGTCGCCTTGCTTTTCGTGACAGACAGCACAGCCGACGCGTTCGAATAGTTTCTTGCCTGCGGATGCTTGTTCTTCACTGTTGGCAACTGGGGACTTCTCGTCCGCAAAACTCGCTGCACCGAGGTAGGTGGCCAGTGCATAGCGTTGGGCATCGCCCGCTGGGTTGTTGGCGAAGAGCTGTGGCATGACCGCTTCGTGACGGAAGGCCTGAGGATCGGCCAGCCAAGCGTAGATCCAGCCGGGCTTCAAGCGGGCGGAGTGGTGATCAAGATGCGGACCCGAGCGATAGGACATGCCTTGCGTGAGTGGTACTGCTTCGCTGGCGGCGTGGCATGCCAGGCAACTGTATTCCTCGGCGAGCAATTGCCCGTGAGCGAAGGGGGAGAGCCAACCGTCGGGGTTGCTATCTGCCCATTGGTCTTTCTTGTGCGAAAGTGATGCGGCCGGGAGCGGTTCTTTGGCGAACTGATCGCTCTCCCACATTAGCCGCAGTCGGGCGTCTTGGTCAGCGGGGGTGTAGTCAATGGAGATGTCGTAGGTGCCGAAGGGAAGTTCAAGCTCGTCACCGGTGACTTCTTTCGACTTGGTTGTGTCGGCAGCGAGAACGAGATGCTCGCCAACTTGTACCTTCAACTTTCCGGCGAGTTGGGCCGAGAAGCGATACTTGCCAGGCTGCAGCACTTGGAGTTGCCCCGACCAGTGGGCCGACCAATTGCGGGGCTCGAGGCGAGGGTCGGGAGATTCGCCCGCCGCGAGCAAGATGGCGGCCGTAGGCTCCAAGCGGGTGACGCGTGGTTCTGTTTTGCCTGCGAGTGTGTAGGTGGCGATAAGTCCCGGCGGGGGAAGTTCGAACTCGTCATCTTCGTCCTCTAGATCGTCAACAGCAGCTTCGGCCGCAACGGCAGGAACGGCGAGTTGGCTGACGACTAGCAAACTGAACATGAAAGCCAGCGGGAAAGTGTGCAGCAACACCGGCAGGGTGAGGCTGCAGAGAGTATGAGTCCGCAGGGAGCAACGGTGAGATGTCATGCGGTGTTCCGTGAGAGCATGTGCGGAAAGGGAACAACTCTTGGTCGAGTTGAGGCCGGGAGGCACCTTCCGTGAGGCAGGAGCTACGGTCACATAATAGTTCAGCCCGGGGGCCGTCACAATCACCGGTGCTGACGCTCAATTGAGACTCCATTTCAACTACACAGCAAAGCAGTGGGCTGAGCATACTGTGCGTTTTTGAACCTTGTCGAGCCTAGAAAGGCATCTCTACATTGGACGTTTCGGGGTGTCCTGGTTGTGATTCTTGAGTGAATGGAGATTAGCAAGATGAAACGCGTGGTCCTGCTACTTGTCGCTACCTTGCCGTTGAGCGTTTTATTCGTGGAGCGTGGGGAATCGCAAGAACCCAACAAGGTGAAGGACTTCATGCGGTTGAAGTTGCAGTATGCCGAAGGGATTTTGGAAGGGCTGGCCATCGAAGATTTCGAGATGATTGCCAAGAACTCTCAGGATATGAGCCTCATCAGTCTTGATTCAACCTGGAATGTGATGATGACCGACGAGTATGCCAAGCAAAGCGCCGAGTTCCGTCGCACGGCGAACGCGCTCACTCGAGCTGCCGACGATAAGAATCTCGACGGTGCCGCGCTGGCCTACGTGGGGATGACGCTAAGATGCGTCAATTGTCATAAGTACGTGCGTGCGACCCACGACTGAGATGTTGCTTGGTCAGGCTGCGACGTCTTCGCCCAAGATGATATGACGATCGCATCGACAGCTTGCCGGCTTGGATGAACGCTTACAGTTCTTCGCGAGATTTCCGCTCGCGTAGGTGCTTGCGCCGAATGCGGCTACTGTTGCTTTCTGCATGGTCATCGAACAGCACCGCACCAGAGTCGATAGGGATCGCATGCCGGTGGGGAAAAGTGGGGGACTCACGTGCGTGAAGTGAGACCTCGGCAGGCATTCCACACGACCGGAATAATCAGATCTATTCGCTCCGGAGGATCCCCTTTCCGACCGGGGATGACTTTACGTCCCGAGCTAGCCTGGCAGTTTGATTCTAGAGTTGCGCATATCCGCCATTTCGAGCGTTCAGCAGACATTGAGCAGGCTTCTAAAGATAATGGGTCCAACTGTTTATCTTCGCCGTGCGATCCCAGCCATCATTCTCATGGTTGGGTTGATTGCAACGATTGGTCTTCGCGCTGCCTTGCTGTCAGCCTTCGCAGACGGTTATCTCGATGTACACTCGTCGCTACTCTTCTTGAGTGTGACGGGCGGAGGGGTGGCCATTTCGTTTCTCGTGGCTCTGGTGGTCGAACTTCTAAGCCGCAAACGAGAGATTGAACTGGTTGGCGAGCGGTTGGCTGACGATGCACGGGTAAATCAGCTACAGGCAGAAGATACACGACGTGCGTTTCAAGCGCTGCTCGACGCTTCAAGTTCCGTGGCGATCATCGCCACCGACCTGAACGGAAACGTCACCCTGTTCAACCCCGGCGCCGAACGCATGTTGGGCTATTCATCTGAGGAAGTCGTCGGCAAACATACCCCCGTGCTCTGGCATTCTGAGAAAGAGTTGGAAGCCAGAAGAAACGTTTTGGAGATCGAACGTGGCAAGCGCGTGGAGGGATTCCAGCTACTGACTGAATTGCAACCATTGACCGGCGAAGAAGAACGTGAATGGACGTACATTCGAAAAGATGGCACCACGCTGGTCGTGCAAGTGCGGGTTAGCACGATCTATGACAAACACAATCAACCAACCGGCTACGTAGCGACTGCCACGGATATCAGTCGCCGAAAACAGTACGAAAAAGAATTGCGGCAGGTTAATGCCGAAACTTGGGCCATGAATCAAGAGCTTTTGGCCATTAGCGAAGTGCAAAACACGTTGATCGCTTGCCGCACCGAAGCTGAGGTGTCGAAGATCATCACGATGGTGCTCACTCAACAGTTCGGTGCATACTTTGCCCGAGTGTGGTTGCGGCGGCCTGGGGATATTTGCCCTGAGTGCCCAATGCGGGGGCACTGCACCATCGGTGGAGAATGTTTGCATCTAATAGAGTCGGCAGGCTATTACACGCACACCGATGGCAATCACCGTCGCATTCCCGTTGGGGCATTCAAGATTGGCCAAATTGCCAACGAGGCCTCGCCGGTGATTTGCAACGACATCGTAAAAGATGAACGGTTGCACGATCGCGAGTGGGCGGAAAGTCATGAACTGCAATCGTTTGCAGGGTTCCCACTGATGTCGGGCAGTGAGGTGATTGGGGTCGTCGCCATGTTTTCTCAGCAGCGTTTGGCGCCGCACTTGCAGGAAACGTTGTCGATTCTGACTCGGTTAACGGCCGAAGCCCTTTGCAACGTGCAGCAGTTTGAGGAATTGCAACAGGCACGAACGCAAGCCGAGGCGGCCAACATCAGCAAGAGCGAGTTTTTGGCTAATATGAGCCACGAAATTCGCACACCCATGACTGCGATCATGGGATTTGCCGAAAACCTGGCTGAAAACGTTACCGATCCGGTTAACGTCGACGCGATCTCCACGATCCAACGCAATGGCGAGCACCTGCTCGACATCATCAACGACATCCTGGACTTGTCGAAGGTCGAGTCGGGCAAACTGAGCGTGGAGTTGGGCCACCACAAACCGTGCGAGATCGTGGCTGAGGTGCTCTCGTTGGTGAAGAGCAAGGTTGATTGCTCGCAATTGAATCTGGATGTGACGTGCGTGGGCCCGATTCCGGAGCAAATCTGCACCGACCCGACCCGATTGCGCCAGATTCTGATCAACCTTTTAGGTAACGCCATTAAATTCACCGAGTCGGGCGAAATAAAATTCATCGCCCGACTGGTTCGCAGTGAAGCTGAGCCACTGCTGCAGTTCGATGTACTGGATACCGGCATCGGTATGGATGAGGCGCAGGTCGCTCGCGTGTTTCAACCGTTCTCTCAGGCAGACACGACAACCACGCGTAAGTTTGGTGGCACAGGACTGGGTTTGACCATCAGCCGACGCCTGGCGCGCATGCTGGGCGGCGACGTGACTTTGGTCGACACCAAGCCGAATGGTGGATCTCACTTTCGCGCTACGGTCGCCACGGGTCCGTTGGAAAATGTGGCCATGATTACGAGACCGCATCCTCCCGAGACCAGCGGTAACTTCGCCACGCAGAATCGCCAGAGTTCGAACTGTCTGGACAAATATCGCGTGTTGCTGGCCGAGGATGGGGTCGACAACCAGCGGCTCATTTCGTTCGTACTTCGCAAATCCGGAGCCTGTGTCGATGTGGTAGGCGACGGCCAGCAGGCGGTGGAAAAAGTGACCGACGCCCAAAAGTCTGGAGGCGGGTACGATGCGATTCTTATGGACATGCAGATGCCAACGATGGATGGATACGAGGCCACACGATCGTTGCGTCACTGCGGGTGCGAGATCCCCATCATCGCCCTGACGGCTCATGCCATGGCGGGCGATCGTCAGAAGTGTATCGCCGCGGGGTGCACCGACTATCAGACCAAACCGATTAATCGGGTGGCATTGGTGGCCTCGATCTTGGAACACGTTCCGCAGCCGGTGGCAGTCGAGAACGTGTAGCTCCCCCTGCCCAGGATGATGTTCTTACTGCTTTTCACCGGGCAGGATTTTCGCCAGAGCGTCGATCAGACGGTCGATTTCGTCGGGAGTTGTGTAAAGGTGACACGAGACGCGGAGCAGGCGTTGGCCGTTCCACTCGACAATTGGCACTTCGATACGATGCTCGTTCCATAGCATGTCTTGCAAGGGCTGTGCTTCGCCTGGGGGTAAGGGGACGGCGACCATCGAGCCGAAGTGCTCTGTAGAGTCGGGCGTGAGGTGTGGCAACCCGGTGAGTTCGCCGAGGCGGTAGCGAGCGTATCGGGCCAGGGCATGCGTGTGTTGGCGGAAGCGATTGAGCCCGATGTTGTTCATGAAGTCGATGGCCGTTGCGACGGCGAGCTTGGAAGCGACGTCGCGGGTTCCCTGCCAGAGGAACTCATCCTGCCAGCGATAGTCGGCATCGGTGAGTGGACGCCCCCAACTGGTCACCACCGGCTGGATGTCGGCTTGGACTCTCGGGTTCGCATAAAGAAAGCCAGAACCGAACGGACCGCAAAGCCATTTGTGGCAACTTGCGGTGTAGAAGTCGCAGTCGAGGGCTGCGATCTCCAGCGGCTGCATGGCGATGGCATGAGGGCCGTCGATGCAGGTGGGGATGTTCCGTTGACGAAGTTCGGGGCACAGCTTCGCCACCGGCAGAACGATTGCGGTCGGCGAGGTGACATGACTGAAAACCACGAGACGGGTGCGGTTGTTGGTGTTCGCCAGGATGGCATCGCACCAATCGTCGGAAGCGCGGATCGGCGTGGGTACTTCGCACACGACGAGCTTGGCCCCCTGCCTTGCACACTCGTGTTCCCAAATGCGATGGACCGCACCGTAGTCGTGATCGGTTACCACCACTTCGTCGCCGGGGCTGAGTGTTACGCTGCGGGCGACCACGTTCATGGCCACTGTGGAGTTGTCGAGGAACACAAGATCTTCGGCCGGAGCGTGAACGAACTCAGCCAGTTTGGCGAGACTGGACTCCAGGGCTGGGGCAAGTGCCCTGAGGAAGAAATCGACCGGTTCGCTTTCGAGTTGCGCTTGCCATTGTTGCTGGGCCTGCTGAACAACGCGGGGTGAGGGGCCGAACGCCCCGTGATTCAAGTAGGTAACCCCCTCGCGTAGCGACCAGGCCTCGCGAGTGATGTCAGTCAGAGGATGTGGCGGTGGTGCGGTCATGAGGGTATTTGCAGCGAGTTGATCGTGGACGGGAGATGCTGGGAGCGACGAGCCGTGATCCGAACGGCGGGCGGAGACGTAGTATGGAAAGGGATCGTGAAAAACGCCACGTTGGTCAGATCTTCACATGGCTGGATGGCGCTGCACGGGTAAAGCGTTCTTGCTATAACCCTGCTTGAGCGATTGCTTTAGGCGAATTCCTCCAAGATTTTGCTGCTTGGGGCGAAGAGTACTTCTGACTGCCTGCACAGGGCATCGCAATCTACTTTTTAGTACGAAACCGAGAAGCCGGAACGCATGGCCCGCAAGAATACATCGAACCGCCCGACGGATAGTGCACCTTCGACCAAAAAAGATTCGAAGTCGAAAGCGGCTGAGAGTTCACCGCCTCGCGACAAGGCGATGCGGGAGACGATCGAGTCGATTGTGATCGCCTTCATTCTGGCGTTCTTGTTTCGCACGTTCCAAGCCGAAGGGTATGTGATTCCGACGGGGTCGATGGGACCGACGCTAGTGGGTCTGCATAAAGACTTGGAATGCCCGAAGTGCGGCTTCTTGTATCAGGTGGGCGTAAGCAAAGGGGTCGACCAGACCACCGGGCAACGTCGTTACGAGTATGAAGCGGAGTCGACGACTTGTCCCATGTGTCGCTATCGGGCGGATATTCGACCGGACAACCCTCAGCACGAGGTTTATCCCGACTACTCGGGGGATCGGCTGCAGGTGGCCAAGTTCATGTACGGGTTCGAACCACCGCAACGTTGGGATGTGGCGGTCTTCAAGTACCCACATGGGGCGCAAACCAACTACATCAAGCGGCTAGTGGGTTTGCCTGGCGAGACGGTGCGAATCGCACATGGCAACGTCTACACCAAGCAGGAGGGTGAAGACGAATTCCGTATCGCGCACAAGCGTCCGGAGAAGGTCGAAGCCACGCTGCAGAATGTTTATGACAACGATTACATGCTGGACGAGATGCGGAAGGCGGGCTGGCCGGCACGTTGGAGGCCATCGAATGCTGCGGGGGAAGTGATTGAAGATGGCAGCCCCTGGGTTACCGAAGACTTAGGGAAGACTTATCGCATCGAGAATCCGAGCAAAGAAACGGCTTGGCTTTCCTACCAGCATATTCTGCCGACGTTCAAGCATTGGGAGATGATCGAGCGCGGAACGCTGAAGGAGAGCGATATTCCACCGCCGCAGCTTATCACCGACTTTTATGCCTATAACACGGGAGTAAGCCAGCCGCCGGCGCCGCTGGTGGGGGCCGATGTTCAGTGCTTGGGATTGCACTGGGTGGGCGACCTGGCTGTCGTGTTCGACCTCGAGGTTGAAAGCGATACCGGCACCGTGAGCACGGTGTTGATCGAAGGTGGCCGGAAGTTTGAGAGCCGGATCGATATCGGAAACGGCACGGTCGAACTATCGATCGACGGCGTAGACGACTTCGCCCCCAAGGCCACGGTGCCGCTCAAAGGGCCCGGGGAGTACGAGATTCGTTTCGCCAACATCAACGACGAGTTGTTTCTCTGGATCGATGGCAATCCGGTGGAGTTCGATAGCCCAACGACATACGGACCGCTCGACAATCTGAAACCTATGCCCGAGGACTTGGTTCCGGTACGTATCGGTGCAAGCGGGGCAAAGGTATCCGTGAGTCACATTCGCATTCATCGCGATGTTTACTACATCGCCACGCGGGAACCGCTGGAGGTCTTCGCACAACGTTATGTCGCGGTGTTGGCAGATTACCCCGACAGCTCGCCCATCTATCGCAGCCTTAGCGAAGAAGGGTTGAGCAAGATCATGTCTGACCCACGGTATTGGGCGATCTTCGATAACCTCAACGAGATTGAACTCGAGATTCTTCCGGAGCACTACCTGGCGTTGGGTGACAATAGCCCGGGAAGCATGGATAGCCGCTTATGGGGCAGCCCAAATGTAAACGCGCGCCAGCCCGACGATCACCTTGTGCACCAGTCGCTTCTGATTGGTAAAGCATTGTTCGTGTACTGGCCACACACGTGGGAATTTCCTTGGAGCTTCGAGATCCCGGGGACGGGTATCCGGGTTCCGTTCTATCCGAACTTCTCGAAGTTTCGCCGCATCCGCTGAGCCGCTGTTGGGGTGGGCTTCGAAGGCCCTGAGAGTCGTACAATCCCCCCTTGTGGTTCAGGATCTTCCCTGATTTAGCCTGGCGGCTTTATGCCACTTCTGCCCCCCGTCCTGACTGTGCATTTTTGACAGTTGGAGCGAGTATTTCCGCAAAAAGCGGGGATCATCGTGCCGCTTTCGTGCTGAGCATCTGCGACTATCGCATTCACAAAGTTGACTATAGCAAGCCTTTTCCTGCAATCAGCCTTTTATCCAGGTCAAACATCGGGTTTAATTCAGCGAAGTGGGGCCGACTTAAAGATCCAGGAAACAGGGCACCCAGAGGTGGGGAAAATGTCCTAGTCAACTGTTAACAATGGTCTACCCGAGCAACGTGTGATTCATAGCCAGCTTATCAAGCCCTGTTCATCTACCCGCAGACAGAATTACGGACCAAAACTCTTTGGTGTCGTCGCAGATAAATCTCGGAAAAGCTTTATGTGAGAAAGCTCCGTTGTGCTCCGCGTGACGGAGCAAAGTCGCAGCGATCTTCGAGATTTAGTGCGATGTGCAAAGTCTGCATCAACGCGAGGTGGAAAGCATTCATTCCAACGGGCTCATAACGAGTTAATTCCAACGATCGATCCTCCTGTGGCAAGTTCTGCGCGAAGGTGGCATCGCTTTATTCACATACTCATATCGCAGTTTGTGTGGGGCGCGAAAAAAACTTTTTGCCCAATCAAGTTTCGCAAGCCGCTAGCACCGTGCAACGACCCAGCGAAGCAACGACCGTGGGCTTGTCCAATCATGCTGTGAGGTACTTAGGTCGGTGAGTATTCGTTTGCTCTTAGCGGACGATCATGATGTCGTTCGTACTGGAATTGTGAGTCTGCTGAAAGACTCAGACATCGAGGTGGTCGCGGTCGCATGCACCGGCGGTGAAGCGGTGGAACTCGCTTCGCAGGTAAACCCGGACGTTGTCGTGCTGGACGTTCGTATGCCGGGCGGTGATGGACTGACTGCATTGGGGCGGATCAAACTTGACCAACCCCACCTGCCTATTCTGATGTTGTCGAACTACGACAACCCCACCTACGTCGCCCGGGCCGTGGCGCTGGGGGCTAGTGGGTATGTCTTGAAAGACACCCCGCGAGCTGGATTGATCGATGCCATTCGTCGAGCGTTCAAGGGTGAAAACTTGTGGACGCGTGACGAGTTGCGACGCGTGACCGGGGCATTGGCCGCCCCCAGGCTGGGAGTGGAGAGCGAAGTTCCCCTCACGCAACGCGAAGCCGAGGTGCTCAAACTCATCACCACCGGTCAAACGAATCGTCAAATCGCCGAGACGATGGGCATTAGCTACGAGACCGTGAAAGAGCACGTGCAGAATATGCTTCGCAAAATCGGCGTCTCCGATCGCACCCAGGCCGCGGTGTGGGCTGTGCGTAACGGGCTGGTTTAACGCCCTATTCTTAGATTGCGATCTTACCGAGGGACTCGCCCCCCTGTCCGCGGCTTGAAAGCCCTGGAATAATAAGGGTAAGGATGATCCTCTTTGCGGCCGCGGAGTGCGCGGTTGCCAGATCTTGCCCCGTCTGAGTTGCATTTCCAGATGGGTTCTCGCTCGGGGTCATTCGTCGCAGCTTATCGTTTTCGCTACGAGGTCGTGACTTCATGCGGTGGTCTTGGAAGATCGGAAAACTCGCCGGCATTGGCATCTACGTCAATGTGAGCTTCCTCGTGCTCATCGCGCTGGTGGTCATGCTGGGGTTTGCCAACGAGCGGACCGTGGCGGGCGTGGCGGAAATGGTGTTGCTGATTCTGCTGCTGTTCGGAATCATCGTGCTGCACGAACTTGGCCACGCCCTGACGGCGCGACGATTTGGGATTCGCACCCAGGACATCACGCTGCTGCTGTTTGGTGGGGTCGCCCGATTGGAAAGGATGCCCCGCCAGCCGTGGCAAGAATTCCTGATCGCCGTGGCGGGCCCGGCCGTGAATGTGGTGTTGGCCATCTTGTTATCCGTGGTGCTAATCGCGTTGGCAGGCACTTCGTTCGTGATGGAATGGAACACGCTCAACAGCTCGGTGGCGATGTTCATCCTGCAGTTGATCGGCATCAACGTGATGTTGGTGCTGTTCAACATGCTGCCGGCTTTTCCGATGGATGGCGGTCGTGTGTTTCGTGCGCTACTGGCCATGAAACTCGACTATGTAAAGGCGACCAACATCGCGGCCAACGTGGGGCAGGCGATGGCTATCCTGTTCGGATTCATCGGCATCGTGTGGTTCAACCCATTCCTTGTCTTCATCGCGTTGTTTGTGTGGATGGGGGCAGCGCAGGAGGCCTCTTCTGTGCGAATCCGCTCAGCGGTATCGGGTGTTCCGGTCAGCCGCGTGATGGTGACCGATTTCCGAGTACTCGCTCCACAAGATGAACTCAGCCAGGCGGTGGCTTTCGTGTTGGCGGGTTTTCAGCACGATTTCCCGGTGCTGGAGGAGGGTCGTTTCGTGGGAGTGCTGACTCGAGCCGACATGATTAAAGCGCTGGCCGACCATGGTCAGAACGCTCGCGTGTCTGACGTGATGCGGACTGATATTCAGACGGTTGATGCGAGCGAAATGCTCGAACCGGTCATTCCTCGCCTTCAGAGTTCGCCAGGGCGGACGTTGCCGGTACTGCGCAACGGACAACTCGTGGGGATGCTTACGACCGAGAATTTGGGCGAGTTCTTGATGGTCGATAGCGCCCTGCGGCACCGGGTGGTGGCAGGAGTACCGCGCCATATCGCACAGCCGAGCCCTCGTCCGCCAGCCTAGCGTTACGCACAAACGCTAGGAAACTCGTGTGTCGCGAACGTGTCCAACGCGCGCCATCACTTTTGAGTACGTAGGGTCACCTCTTGCGATTGGACTGTTCTTTTCGAACGCGATGGCTGTTCGCGATTCAATCACTCTTAAAGGTCTGTAGTGAGAGCAACATAGTTATGATTGACGCCCCGCAACTCTTCTTAGATGCTTCACACATGCTCTCAATCTGATGTGGCGGGGTCCGGTATCGACGCGCTGGAACGCTGATCGATTCCACCATGCCGCAGGTGGCAGAAGATTGACCACAGCGGTTGGTACACATCGGGTGCAGAATCCCTTGTTGGCAGACAGTGTTGGAGCGCGTTGAATGAAATTCTTTCGGGCGATTGGTCACATGCTGTGGCGATTTTTGCCGTTGGTGATCGGCCTGGCGGTTATGGTCGTGGTGATCGCCTGGATGTCAGGGTTCTTCAACGAGCGGATGGAGCCCGGTCGGGTTGAAGCTCAGAAGCGGCAGCCGCACCCGGGGCAAGATATCGAACTGGTGCAGGAAGTCACCAAGGACTACTTCGAGGAGGCCGTCGGCACTTTGAAATCGGCCGCGAGGACGGTTGTGTCTTCGAAGGTGCTGGCTCGAATCGAAGACATCACCGTGAGTGCCGGCGATGAAGTCCAACAGGGCGAGGTGTTGGTGAAGCTTGACAGCGGCGAGTTGGAATCGCGACTGCATCAGGCTGAGGAAATGCTTTCCGCCTCGGAGGCAACGCGGAGCGAAGCCGATGCCACCTTGGAACGGGCTCGTCGTCTCCGTGAAGAAAGCCCGAACGCCCTCAGCCAGGAGCGCTTCGATGAAATTCGGGCACGAGCCGAAGTTTCTCGTGCCGAGGTGGCGCGGAACACGCAGGCCATCAACGAAGCCCAAGTGCTGATGTCGTACGCGACGATTCGAGCACCGCTGGACGGTCGCGTCGTCGATCGGCAGGCAGAGCCGGGGGATATGGCCCAACCCGGTCAGCCGTTGTTGGTTTTGTACGATGCGGCCGCACTGCGGTTGGAAGCCCCCGTGTCGGAATCGCTGGCCGTACAACTCAAGTCGGGCGATAAGGTGATGGTGCATCTCGACGCGGTCGATCGGACCGTGGAAGCAGTCATCGATGAGATCGTGCCCCAAGCAGCCGCCCCCTCGCGATCGTTCTTGGTGAAGGCCGCCCTGCCCGGGGCTCCCGATTTGTATGAAGGCATGTTCGGCCGAATGCTGATCCCGGTGGGGCCGCGACAGTTTCTGTGTTTGCCTCGCCGTGCGGTCCAGCAGATTGGTCAATTGGAATACGTCGACGTGGTGACCGACGATAACACGATGGAGCGGCGGTACATCCGCACGGGCCGCGAAGGGATTCCCGGGCATGTCGAAGTGCTTAGCGGGCTGAACGCCGGAGATCGGGTGGCCCTGTATTGATTTCCGTCATTTAGTCTTCGTTCTGATCCCACTATTTCATTCCCCCCACCTAACCTCGCCCGGCGAGTAGAAACACTCCGAAACGGTCGATGAGCTCAGAGACGACGACAGATACCCCATTTCTTACGCGCGTTGTCGACGTCTTCTTGCGCGGCGATGTGGCCATTCTGCTGACGGTGGTTTCGCTGATTGTGGGTGCGGTGTCGCTGTATCTCACGCCGCGGGAGGAAGAGCCGCAGATTGTGGTGCCGCTGGCCGATGTGTTCGTCAACGCACCGGGGCTTTCGGCCGAGGAGGTGGAGCAGCAAGTCACCTCGCGACTCGAAAAGCTGCTGTATCAGGTAGATGGCGTCGAGTATGTGTACTCGATGTCGAAGCCGGGGCAGTCGATTGTGACCGTGCGATTCTACGTGGGGGAAGATCGCGAAGACTCGCTGGTGAAGCTGCACAACAAGATCATCTCGAATACTGACCGCGTACCCCCGGTGGTGACCGACTGGGTGGTGAAACCGTTGGAAGTGGACGATGTGCCGATCGTCAACATCTCGTTGTGGTCAGCGCGGCCTGAGCAGTATGGCGATCATGAGTTGAGGAGAATCGCCGAGGAGCTGCAGAACGAACTACAAGCCATTCCGCGGACAAACGCAGTGCAGGTGATTGGCGGCCGGCCGCGGGAAATCCGCGTGGAAGTCGACCCAATTCGTCTGGCGGCTCGGGGAATGTCACTACTGGAGGTGGCCACCGCACTGCGGGCGAGTAATGCTCAGCTTCGCTCGGGAAGTTTTCAACAGCAAGACCAGGAATGGATTGTCGAGGGCGGCACCTTTGTGGAAGACGCCATCGCCCTGGGCGACCTGGTGATTGGCGTGACCGACGATCGACCGGTGTATCTGCGCGAGGTGGCCAACATTCTCGATGGTCCCGCCGAGGTGGACAGCTACACCTGGATTGGTTTCGGTCCTGCCGATGAACAAGCCCCGCCGGCAACTGAAGACTTTTTGCTACCAGCCGTGCACGTAACGGTGGCGAAGCAGAAAGGAAGCAACGCCGTTTGGGTGGCCGATGCGGTGCAGCGGCGAATCGAACAACTGGCCCCCACGCTGCTGCCCGAGGGTGTCGAGTTTCGCCTGACGCGAAACTACGGCGAGACGGCCAACGAGAAGGTCGATGAACTGACTGAGAGTTTAGCAATCGCCGTGCTGACGGTGATCGGGCTGATTGGCATCGTGCTGGGGTGGCGGCCTGCGTTGGTCGTGGCGATGGCGATTCCAGTTTCTTACAGCCTGACGTTGTTCGTCAATCTTCTGGCTGGATACACCATCAATCGGGTGACGATGTTCGCGTTGATCTTGTCGTTGGGCCTGTTGGTCGACGACCCGATTACCGATGTGGAAAACATCGCCCGTTATTACGCGATGCGGATACTACCGGCCCGGCAGTCGGTGCTTCGGGCCATTCAAGAGGTGCGTCCCGCGTTGATTCTCTCGACGCTGGCCATCATTGTGAGCTTCCTGCCGCTGGTGTTCATTACCGGGATGATGGGGCCGTATATGGCTCCGATGGCGTTAAATGTTCCGTTAACCGTTTCGGCGTCGACTGTGGTGGCGTTCTTGATAACGCCCTGGATGTCGATGGTCGCGCTGCGCGGAATGCTCACCAAGGGAAGCAGCGAGGAAACTTACGATGTGACCCGACTTCCGTTGTACCGGTTCTATCAACGCGTTTTTTCGCCGCTGCTCGACCGCAAGTCGCTATCGGTGGGGATGCTGGCGGTGGTGGGGTTGTTGTTTGTGGGGGCGGTCATGTTGCCGGCGTTTCGTCTGGTTCCGCTGAAGATGCTGCCGTATGACAACAAGAACGAGTTCCAGATTGTAGTCGACATGCCGGAGGGGACATCGCTCGATCGCACCGATGCTGTAACCCGGGCGATTGCGGAGTATATGGCCAGCGTGGTTGAAGTGCGGGACCTGCAAGCCTATGTGGGGCTGGCCTCGGCGATGGATTTCAATGGCATGGTGCGGCACTACTTCTTGCGGCAAGGTCCCAACGTGGCCGACATTCGTGTGAACCTGGCCGACAAGGACGTTCGGGCTCAGCAATCGCACGAGATTCTGCTGCGGTTGCGAAACGATCTCTCGGCCCTGGCCGAAAAACATGGTGCGAACATCAAACTGGTGGAAGTGCCGCCGGGGCCACCGGTGATGGCGACGATCACGGCCGAGGTTTATGGTCCGGCCGAAGAGCCTTACGGCAAATTGGTCGAGAGTGCCGAAGTGTTGGCCGAGCGACTGCGGCAAGAGCCCGGCGTGGTGGATGTCGACACCAGCGGTGAGGCCGAGCAGACGCGTTGGGTTTTTGAAACCGACAAGCCCAAGGCCGCACTATCGGGGATTTCGACCGAAGACATTGCCGAGACCCTGCAGATCGCCCTCTCTGGTCGCGAGATCACGGTGCTGCACGATCCGCGGGAAGTCGACCCGTTGTGGATTACCCTACGGGTGCCGCGTGAGTTGCGATCGAGCATTGATGATTTGTCGGCGATGTACCTCGTGGGCAAAGATGGACAAACGGTGCGCCTGGGGGCACTCGGCAAGTTTGTCGAGCAGAAAGAGTATCAAACCATCTACCACAAGAATCTCCGGCCGGTGTCGTACGTTTATGCGGAAGTTGGGGGTCGTCCGCCGGCAGATGCGATTATCGATATCCAGCTCGATCGAACGGACGAAGGTGAACTGGCGTCAGCGAACGTGAACAATGCGAGACCGGCGGAAGAGCGGACGTGGTTCTCACCCGGCGGAGGCATTCCTTGGGCATTGCCTCCGGGCACCGAAGTGGAATGGGCTGGCGAGGGTGAGTGGAAGATCACGCTCGACGTGTTTCGCGACCTGGGACTGGCGTTCGGTGCGGCCCTGGTTGGCATCTTCGTTCTGTTGATGTTTCAGACCAAATCGCGGGTGCTGCCGATCGTGATCATGCTTTCGATTCCGTTGACCATGATTGGCATCATGCCGGGGTTTTGGTTGTTGAACTTGTTCGACCGACCGGTGGGTGGTTACCCCAACCCGGTGTTCTTCACGGCCACGGCGATGATCGGCATGATAGCCCTGTCGGGGATCGTCATTCGCAACTCGGTGGTTCTAATCGACTTCATCCATCACAGCTTGGAGGAGGGTCATTCGCTCCGCGAGGCGATCATTCGTAGCGTGTCTTTGCGAACCCGACCGATTCTGCTAACGGCCGCCACCACGCTGTTGGGCAACTGGGTGATCACGCTCGACCCCATCTTCTCGGGGCTGGCGTGGGCGATCATCTTCGGGCTGTTCTCGTCGACCGTGTTCACGATCATCGTGATTCCGCTGGTCTACTGGCTGCTGTATGGCGGGAAAAAACCGTCTGCGGCCGTGCCCTCGGCATAACGCATAAACTCGCCTGCATATTTGAGCGCTGAGGGCGAAAGATCGTCGAATCCGTTACTGCTTAACGTTTTAAGAAATTTGCGTTTTGCGTAGGCGAGGGATCGTATCGGCCGTATTGGGGCCTGAGGCGGCGGTTGTGAAATCTCGTGGCGGAGAAGTGCTTGACCCGCGATTGTTTTGTGGCAGAATATGGGTGTCGGAGGACCTCCGACTAAACCGCATATCGGGCTGGAGGATCTCCAGCCCGTCTTTTTTGCGCTTGTGGTCGTTCTGACCAAGTGCCTTTGCCCTCGGTGTTGAATGCAGCGTCGAACTCAGTGCGCGAAGCGGCTTCCCCTGCAAGTGATCTGGCCCGTAAGGCTTCACGCGCGGGCAGAAGTTTCCCAGCGGGCATAGGTCATCCGTCGGGCATCGCGAATCCAGAGCCAGACGAACAGGGGTACGCAAACGGCGGCGGCCCATTGGTATCCGGTCAGGCCGAGCCACATGTGGGGCTCGGGGCGAATCCATTCGGTAGTGAAGCGATAGACGAGATAGGCCAGGATGTAGAGCTTGATGAGCTGGCCGGGGAATATCTTTTTGCGCCACAACGCGTACAGCACCACGGCGGCCGTGGCGTGAAAGGCGGCTTCGTAAAGTTGCGTTGGGTGGCGAGCGACCCCGTCGGCGAACTTCACGCCCCAGGGCAAGTTGGTAGGGGTTCCATAGCAACACCCGCCGACGAAGCAGCCGAAACGCCCGACGGCAATCGCGGCGGCGACGGGCACGGCGAAGCTATCGCCGGTCTTCACGCGGACATCGAGCGACCACTTGGCCACTTCGACGCCCAAGTAACCGCCGACCAGACCTAACACGATGGTCTTACCCGAGGCGTACCACAACCCGCCTTCGAGAAACGATTGCCAGTTCTCCATGGCGAAGGGCAACTTCGCCCCAAGCATGGCCCCGCAGAAGGCCCCCACGGTGATGCCGAAGCGTTCGCCGACACTGAGCCCCAACGGTTGTTGCGTCCAGCGGCTGATAACGATGCCAACCAGCACCGCTGAGACCATGACGCCAACGTATGCCCAGTTCATGGCGTCGCTCATTCGGGGTTGGCGTTTACGAGTGAGGGGTTGTGTGCTTCGTTCGCCTTGGGTTCATGGACGAGCGATTCTTCCAGTGGTGGCAGCGGAACGTGGCCTTCGCGGTACAGCACGTTGTAGGCACAGAACGGAATGATGTGACCACTGGGCAACACATGATGGATGCAACACTTCATCACCCGACGGACATCGAAGTTGTAGGCATCGAGGAACGAGGTGATGGTGATGCGGAAGACGTCTTCGGGGTCGAGTTGCTCGGCCAACGCCCGGGCAAAGAACTCTTCCGATTCGCGGTCGAGCCCCCCCTGCCCTGCTCCGGCGGTGGTGATCACCGGCAGCACGGTATCGTTCTGCGGTTGTGAGTCGCCGGGTACGCAATTCCCCCCGACGCAGCAGCCTTGCCGGCCCAGGTAGGTTTCGATCAGCTCGCGGGCGCGGGTGCGATTGAATGTGATTCCGTTGGCCAGTAGGTCGAGATGTTCGGCGGCGTTGATGAATCGGGCTACGGGCGTGGGGCGACCGGTGCCACGATAGACATAGCTGAGCGTGTGGCAATTGGGATGAGCACAGGGAAGCGGCATGAAGTCGCCTGTCTCGAAGAGCCCATCGCACTGCTCGACGAGGGCTTCGATTACATCGGGGAAGGTGACGCGGCGTTCCAGCGTCTTGGGTGAAACCCAACGGCCGGAATAGGTGGCCGGTTGGAAGCTGACGCCGGTGATCCAAGGTCGCTCGAGTGCGAACTGCGTGATCGGGCCGACTTCGTCCAGGTTCAAGTCGCCCTGCAGGGTGGTGACCAGCGTGGTGCGGAGCCCGCGTTGCCCAAGTTTTTCGATCGCACGGAGTTTGGCATCAACAATCGATTCTCCCCGCAGGTGTTGGCTGGTCGATTCGCGGAAGCCGTCGAACTGGAAGTAGATTTCGGTGCGATGCCGCTCAGCAGCCAGCAGGTCGAGCAGTGCTGTGTCGTTGGCCAGGCGAATGCCATTGGTGTTGATCATCACGATGTCGATTGGCTGAGCACAGGCGTACTCGAACACCTCGGCAAACTGCGGATGCAGCGTGGGCTCGCCCCCGGAAAGTTGGAGCACCTCGGGACGTCCCTCGGCAGCGACTAGTCGATCGATCGCACGGGTGCACTCTTCCAGGCTCAGATGCTCGCCGCCGGGGCCACTGCCGGCGTAGCACATGGGGCAAGTGAGATTGCACGAAGCGGTGATTTCCACCAGGCCCACGCAGGTGTGTTGTTCGTGCTCGGTGCAGAGTCCGCAATCGAACGGGCAGCCTTTCTCGGGCTGCGTGCCATAGAGTTCCGACTTGCGTCCCGGCACGCTGAACTCGTGGCGATCGTAATGGGCCACATCGGAGCAAACAAAGTCTTCGCGAACACCGTGCGTGGGGCAACGCTTGCGAAAGTAGACCCGTTTACCGCGGGTGACGACTTTCGCTGGCACCAGTGCCAGGCACTCGGGGCACAGACTTTCGGTTGTTCCGATGAACGTGTAGTCGCGCAACGCCATGAATATTTCCTCGAACTGTTGCTCGCGGCGATTAGAACTGAGTGAGTAAAAGGATGCAGGTGCCGAAGAAGGCGATAAGAACCCCCACAGACACCAAGACCAACACGCCCAGGGTCGCGGCGAACGAGGTGGAGAACGACTTGATTTCCTCCCACCTGGTCATTTGGCCATGTGCTTGACTCTCGCGTCGGGTCTTGATCTGCGCCCGCACTAGTGCGGGCGTGAGTAGGAAGAGAAAGATCACCCCTAACCCAGGCATGCTACGAATCAACCCAAAGCTCACAGCGATGAGCGTAACCACTAGCATGAGTGTCGTGAGGCCAAAGACGGTCCCCTGGCTCAGTGAAGTCTCTTTTCGGGGGACCACCTCGAGCATGTCTTCGCGAGGAATGGAATTTGTACATAACCAACATCTCAACACCTCGGGTGGAGGGACTGCCGTGAAGTTGATCGCGTCGCAATGCGGACAGCGGTACTTTCCATCGACGGGCTGTAAAGCGGAATCGGTCATCGCGAGCAGCTATCTTCCAGGGGCGGTGTTGAGAATTGTGATTGAGCTCAATGTCCGCGAGCTTATTCCTTAGAGGTCTGGTCGATCCGGCGGGCGTAGTCGGCGGCGATCTGCGGTAGTCGGCGAATCAACTGTCCCAGCGCGATACCCGCCAGGGCTAAGGCCAGCAGGAAGATGATTTGGAAATAACGGGGCACGTCGAGCTGCCGATCGGAAAACCATCGCGCGTGGCCACAGAGAACGAGATAGCCGAGCATCGAGCCCGCGGTGGCGAACCAGATTAGCGGCAGGTTCAACCTTAGGGCCGAGAGGGTGACGATGAGGAAGTAGCCCACCACTAAGGGGCTGCCCGGTCCGTCGGCCACGATAAGAATCGACGTCAGCAGGATCAGGTCGGCCCCCGTCGTGAGAAACTTCAGGTACCAGGGGAAGATCCGCTGGCGGAGACTCAAGTGGACGCCGATGGCTACCATCGCCCACACGGCCGCTAATGCGGTAACCGCAAGATGAAACGGTCGGTCAACACCTTCAACCGGCGGTAGCTGCAAAGCCCCCAACCGCAATCCGTAGTGGTTGAGTAGTTCGACGATGTAGAACGCACCGACTCCGATCGTGCGGAGCAGATTCGCTCGAGCTTCGGCCTCGTACTCTTGCCATCGCTCGACAATTCGCCACTGCCTTGCATCGACGTCGATAGAACTTGCCACGGTTTGTCGCTCGGATAAGAAGATTCAAGTGTAATCGTTTATGCGTGGCCGAATTCTGCACGATGACACTTCGAGTTGGCAAGCATTCGCCCTGCCGAACGCGGATGATGTTGGGACGGTGTGCGACCGTCGTGCTGAAAGCCATTGCGGGGTTTTGCGAAACTGGGGGCGTGGCGGTAGGCTGGTGGGAGAAATCGGGCATTCAAATCAATCGCCACCAACGCACTCTGGAGATGCGTTGTGGCTAGCCAATTGGACGGGAATCGAGCGAACCCACGGATGATTACGCTGCTATGTACCGGCGATCTGCATATTGGTCGTCGTCCAACACGACTGGCCTCAACTGACGCGGCGGCGCGCTGCTCGTGCGCCGAGATGTGGCTGACGATTGTCGACACCGCGATACGTCGCAAGGTTGACGCGGTGGTGCTCACCGGCGATGTGGTCGATCGCGAGAATCGTTTCTTCGAAGCCATCGGTCCGCTGGAGCGCGGATTGCGTCAACTCGGAGAGGCGGGCATCGATGTATTTGCCGTCTCGGGCAATCACGATTTCGATGTGTTGCCCCGCCTGGCCGACACGCTGGGGCAATCCACCTTCCACCTGCTGGGCCGCGAGGGAACTTGGGAAACGGCCGAACTCAAGGGGGACGGCAAACCCTGCGTGCGGTTTCTGGGCTGGTCGTTTCCGGAAGAGCATGTGCGGATCGATCCGCTGGAACAGCTCACTGAGATCGAACCGAGTGAGTTGCCGACGATCGCCTTGGTGCATGGCGATTTGGATGTCCCACAGAGTTCGTACGCCCCGCTGTCTTCAAGCCGCCTGCGGGCGCACCCGTTCTCCGCGTGGTTGCTGGGCCATGTGCATGCTCCTCAGTTGATCGAGGGCAGCAGCGGAGCGAGTATTCTGTACCCGGGCTCGCCGCAAGCGATGGACCCAGGCGAAGCGGGGGTGCATGGGCCGTGGCTGTTGGAGTTTGAAAGTGGGTCTGCCCCGCGGTTTACGCAGTTGCCACTGTCGCGGGTGTGTTACGACACGGTTGAGATTGACTTGACCGACGTGGATGACAAGCCGGAATTTCAGCGGCGATATTTTGAAACGCTTCGGCAGCGGTTGAAAGAGCTGACCGAGAATGCCTCGGCCCTGGAGTTCGTACTGTGGCGAGTAAGGCTCACGGGACGTACGGCGTGTCACGGAAAATTGGCGGAGTACGTCAGCGAAGTTACCGCGGAGTTTTCGCTAAATCACGGACAGGCTACGGGGACGGTTGAAAAGAATACGATCGACACGCAACTGGCCATCGATCTCGAAGACCTGGCTCGTGCGAGCGACCCGCCGGGTACGTTGGCGAAGTTGCTGTTGGATTTGGATTCGCCTGAAGGCAAAGGACCTGCCCTGGGGTTGCTGCAGAAGGCGTTGGAGTCGATCGACGAGGCCCGGCAGTCGAATGTTTATCTGGCGGTGGCCGACGATCCTCGACCGAGTGAAGAGGACGCGCGACGGCTGTTGAAGCAGCAGGGCATGTCGCTCCTCGATGCGCTATTAGCGCAGAAGGAGCAGGCATGAAGGACCCCGATCTGCACTTCACTTCGGTTAAGATTCGCCGCCTGCTGGGTTTTCACGACGACGGATTCGATGTGCCGCGGCTTTCGCCGGGGGTGAACATCATCTACGGGCCGAACGCCGCGGGGAAGACGACGTTCGGATTGGCGCTACGACATCTGTTATGGAGGACGCCGGAGGAGATTCGGACCATTTCGATTGCCGGGGGACTGTCGGTCAATGGTCGGCCGATTGCGATTGATATCGATCATGGTCGGGTGGTTTGCCAACAAGATGGTCGCGATATCGATCCACCTCGCGCTACGAGTACAGACAGTGCCGATCGGTATGTGCTGGCCTTGCACGACTTGCTGCAAGATGAACAGCCAGACGGAAGTGCGACCTCCTTCGCTCAGCATATTCTCCGCGAGACGGCTGGTGGATACGACGTTGCCCGTGCGGCCGACCTGCTGGGTTTCACTCCGCGGCCACGGACTCGCAATTCGCAGGTGAATACCGATCTGCAGCAAGCTCAACGCGAGGTGATCGAGTACCGGCACAAGCAGCAAGAATTGGAAACGCAGGCCGCGCAGCTCGACGAGTGGTATCGCAAACGTGAAGAAGCTACCGAAGCACAAAGGCGACTGTCGGTCATCGCCCGGGCCGAGGCCCATCTGGAGGCTGGCGAGAAGCTGCAGGAAGCTGAGTTGACCTTCAAGGCGTTTCCCGCCCAACTGGGCAAGGTGGACGGCGGGGAACTCGCGCGGCTGGAAGAGATTCGGAAACGCCGCAGCGAGTTGGACAAAGATGCCCGGGAGGTAGAGCAGAGTCGGGCCGATGCACAACGGAGAATCGACGAAGCAGCCCTGCCCTCGGATAAGATTTCCGTCGAACAGGTTGGCGTTTGGCGAGATACGGTTCGGCGGTTGGGCGAGCTGCGTTCCCGATCGGAGGAGGCCGCCCGACGTGTTGCGGAGCACCGTTCGCACGAAGATTCGTTGACTCAGTTCTTCGGCGAGCACGGGCAAAGCGTGGAACTTGAGAATGTGGACGCCGGTGTGGTGGCGGAACTTTCCAGCTATGCGCGGAGTTGGTGCAACTGGAATGTGCGACGCACGGCGAACGATGAAGCGATCCGGCTGTTGAAGGTCGATGAATCGGACGCCGAGGCCGATGATCTGCGGCAGTTGGCCTTGCTGCTGGATCAGTGGCTCACCTTGATCGAGCCTTCGCCGAGTGTGCTGCGGGCCGGAAAGTTCACCACGCTGACGATGGCCATACTGGCGGTGGCGCTGGTTGGCGTGTTGTTGTTTCACCAGCACTGGATCATCGGCGGGATCGTGGCCGTTGTGCTGCCATTTGCTTACCGGATCGTGAAGCGGTACCTCGAGCAGATCACCATCGACGAGCGGACGCGGATCGAAAAAGAGGCGGCGGTGATCGAAGCGCCTCAGCCGAGTACCTGGACGCCGGATACCGTCCGTAAGCATCGCCACGCGTTACAAAACGCTTACAACGCGGCGACACTCAATCAACAAAGGGCCACACGTCGTCGGGAGTTGGAAGACGAGCAACTTCGTCTGAAGCAAGAGGATGCCGAGCTGCGGAAAGTGTGGAAGCAACTTAGCGCGAGAACGCTTCGCCCGCCGATCGCGGAGGATGATCCCGCGTTTGTCACCGTGTGGATGAATCATCTGTGCGACTGGCAACGGGCGCATCGAACCCGGGTGGCTGCTGAGAAACAACTGGAGTCGAACCGCACAGAGATTGATTCGCTGCACCGAGAGCTTTGCGAAGCGTTAGCCGAGGTGGGCTGCGAGGCCGACGTGGCGGTCGAGCGTTTGGGTCCGACGATCGAATCGCTGGGGGTCCGTCAGCAGGAAGTGGCTAAAGCTCAGCCGATCGTGGCTTCGTGTACCGCGCGACTGGCGACCATCGAACAACAGATGGCACAGCTCCGCGAGACGGAAGACGAATTGTTTGAGAAGCTTGGTCTGCGTGCGGAAGACGAAGCGACGCTGCGTCTGTGGATGGAAAGCTTTCAAGACTACACGCAGGCCCGACAGAATCTCGACTTCGCTCGACGCGAACATAAGAAGGCCGCCGAAGCGATTGGCGACGTGGAGCCGTGGAGGGATAAATCTCGCGAGGACCTGGACGCCGAGCGGGCGAGGGCCGAGCAAATTGCGGGCGAAGCGGCTGAGATCGATCGAAAGATCGGCGCCATCGAGCAGCAAGTGGCCGACGCCAAAGAGCAACACGATCTGGAAGCGGCCCTCGGCGAGTTCGACGAGTGTCGTCAGCAGTTGCGCGAGCGACGTGACGAAGACGCCCGGGCGATGGTGGGCAATGTGCTGGCCGAGTATCTCAAGCAGCAACAACGCGAACGCGATCGACCGCCGGTATTTCGCAAGGCGCATGACGCGTTCGTTCGCATAACACACGGGCGTTATGAGTTGGACGTCGACGAAGGCGATCCACCGCAACTGCGGGCGATCGACACGGCCACCGGGCGTGGCCAGGCGTTGGATGAGCTTTCCAGCGGCACACGGCTGCAACTGTTGCTGGCTGTTCGGGTGGCGTTTATCGAACAGCAAGAACTGGGAGCCAAGCTACCGCTGATCTTTGACGAGACGTTGGGCAACAGCGACGAACGGCGGGCCGGCGAGATCATCGACGCGGCGATTGAACTTTGCCGCGACGGACGACAGTTGTTCTACCTCACTGCTCAATGGGATGAAGTAGCGAAGTGGCGTTCGGTGCTCAAAGACAAATATCCCGAGGTTCCGCTGACGGAGATCGACCTGGCCGAGCGCCGTGGGTTCTCTGAACAAGAGCGGATCCCGCCGGTCGAGTTGCCCAGAATGCCGGAGCCGATTTCGATCCCCTCGCCGGATGGTAGCAGCCTGGCGAGTTATCGAGGGTTGTTGGGGGTTCCGGCGTTCGATCCGTATCGCCCGTTAGGAGCCACGCACCTGTGGTACCTGGTCGACGATCCGCAAACACTCTACGAGTTGCTGAAGTTGGGCATCAACAACTGGGGGCAGCTCGAAGCGTTGGCCGACCGCGGGGGCTTGCGACTGGATGAAGTAGGCGAGGATGTTTACGAGCGAGCCCAGGCTGCGAAGTGTGTGCTCGAGGCGTTCTGCTCGGCCTGGAAGATCGGGCGGGGCCGCCCTGCCGATCGGGCCGTGCTGCAGGAGAGCGGGCTAAAGGACAAGTGGATAGAGCCAGTTGCTGAACTTTCCAAGAGGCTGCAGGGCGATGCTACTGCTCTGATCGAGGCCTTAAGGAATCGCAAAGTGAAACGCTTCCCCTCCGCGACCGTCGAGGAATTGGAGGGCTTCTTCCAGGAGAACCGCTACATCGACAAGGTGGAACCACTGGCGAGCGAGGAGATTCGCTCCCGCGTGGTGTCGGCGGCGGCTGAATTCTTGAATCGCGGTTTACTCGACGCACAACGGGTGGATTGGCTATTGAGGGTGATCTCTTCACCCGAGGGCGATCCGACTTCAATCGCAGAATCGCCCCCCAAACCACAGCGGCAGCGTGATTTTACGGCTAGAATGACAGATTAGAATCGCGGTGGCTCGTCGCCGTGGTGCGACACATTCTTGGGGTGAGTTCATCTCGAACCACGGGTCGCGAGCGACCGTCTGCGCGGTAAGACTAGCAAATGTTTGATCGCCTGCGGGCGAGGAGTTGAAACATGACCACCGCGAATTTCCAGCTCGATCGACGCATCGCGATCGGGTCGATCTTTTTGGGGTTCTTTCTGATAGTCACCTCCAACATACTCGCGCTTTTCAAGGTGCCCTACCTTCCAGTTCGGTATTGCTTGGCGATTGCTGCCGCGTGCTTGATTTTCGGCCCCATGATTTGCGTGGTCGTAAAATACCGTAGCGACCGGCTGTCGGTGTGGTTGCTTGGCTTGGCCGCATTGTTGATCGGCTCTGGCTTAGCAATGGATCTACCAAGTATTACCGAACCACTGCTCTCCATGACAAACCTCAACCAATCGATTCTGCGTCGAGTGGTGCAGGACTCGCTTCACGAATGCGGTGTGGCGCTGGTTTTTGCCTTGGTGGTTTCATTGCTGATCACGGCTTCGCAGAATGCCTGGAAGTCGGGCGAGCATGAACAACAATTGCAGGTATTAAACTGCGCGCTCGAAGAGAGCCAACGTTTGCTGGCTGAAGCGCAGGGGGTGGCGAAGCTGGGGAGTTGGAGTTGGAACCGTCAAACCAATGAAACCGTATGGTCGCAGGAGATGCAGAAGATATTGGGGGTCGAGCACAAGGATCCTTCAGAGTTGATCTTCGACACCATCGACCGAGTGGTTCATCCCGACGATCATGCCCGAGTGCGTGCTGTAGCCAACGAAGTATACACAACCGGCGTCGCCCGTCCGGTTGAGTTCCGGATCATCCGCCCTGATGGCGAAGAGCGGATCATTTACGCCGACGGCACGATTGTGATGGCCGACAACGGGCTGCCCACGCACATGCTGGGAACTGTGCTCGACGTAACCGAACGCCGTCGCATGCAAGACGAACTCGAACGAAGGGTGGAAGAGCGAACCGCCGAACTGGCCGAATCGAATGAGCAACTCCGCTGTGAAGTGCAAGTTCGGCGCGAGGCGGAAGCAGAAGTAAGGGCCAGTGAAAAACGGTTTCGCGAAATGGCTGAGAACTTTCACTCGGCTGTCTGGGTGCAAAATGCCATCTCAGGAGAACTGCTTTACACCAGCCCGGCGTGTGAGCGGATCTGGAAGATGCCAACGGAGCAAATACGCTCCCATTCCGAGGCATGGCTAGAACGCGTCCATCCGGAAGACCGAGATGCAACCCGAAAGAAATTCCGTGATGCGCGGTTTAGTGATCCGCCCTGTGCGGTATCTGCGGAGTATCGCTTGCTTTGGCCCGATGGATCGATTCGCTGGATAAGCGATCGGTCTTTTCCAATTCGCGATGAGTCGGGCCAAGTTTATCGAATTGGTGGGGTGGCAACGGATATCACCGAACAACGTGCAGCGGCCGAAGCACTGCGGCACTCCGATCGGCTTTCGGTCATTGGTACGTTGGCCGCGGGGATTGCGCACGAAATCAACAACCCGGTGGGGTCAATTCTGTTGTCTGCTCAGTTGGCACAGAAACAGATGAATGCCCCCAATGGCATGGAGGCGGTCTCTTCGCAGCTATCTTCGATTGTCGACGACGCACTGCGGTGTGGTCGGATCGTGAAGAGTGTGCTGACTTTCTCGCGGCCCACGTCGAGCGAGAAGGAAGTTGCGCAATTGAACGACGTGGTGCAAAGTGCCGTTTCGCTGGCGAAGAAATATGTGTCGAGCCGCAAGGCGACTCTTCGCATGGATCTACAGGATGAGCTGCCGGATATTTCCATCAATTTCACAGAGATCGAACAGGTTCTGATCAACCTGATTCGAAACGCAGTGGAATCGAAAAGTGAAGGAGTCACGGTTGATATCAGCACGCAGCGGAGCAACGGTCGAGTGAAGGTTGTGCTGCACGACAACGGCTGTGGGATTGCCGAAGATGAAATCAAGCGATTGTTTGATCCCTTCTACACAACGCGACGCAACGACGGTGGCACCGGCTTAGGGCTGTCGATTTCCTACGGCATTGTGAACGAACACGGAGGGACCATCGCTGTGGAGAGCGAAGTGGGGATTGGCACCCGGGTCACAATCGAGTTGCCGGTGGCCTCGGAAGACCCAGGGGATGACGGTGATCTGGCGGGGCAACCGGCGGGGGTTTCGGCCGAAAAATCCGTATAAACGGCGGGCGAAACGGTGCCATTGGGGTTGAAGTATCGGTTATAATAGCAACGTGCCGAACTGGGTGACCGCTGGGCCATTTTTCGGTGGCATTTTCTGGACGAATGCGACCCAATCGCGGTACCATGATGGGCACCCCGCCTTAGACTTAAGTAGCACCACAACAGGTGCTTAAGTCGCAAACCTCCCCCCGCTGACGGAGCTTGCGTAATGAACGACGCTTTAGTCGTACGCAGCGCGCGTGTTGCGATCTGCATTGCTATCTCGACCATTGCCTGGGGTGTTTCTCACTCCATGGCTCAGGGTGCCGAGCCGGCCGCATCGACAATCAATTTCAATCGCGATGTGCGGTCGATTCTTTCCGACAAGTGCTATGCCTGCCACGGCCCCGATGCCGAGCATCGGGAAGCCGGGCTGCGGTTCGACACCGAAGAGGGCGCCCTGGCCGAAGTCGATTCGGGTGCTCGCGCGATTGTGCCGGGCAAGCCGGAAGAGAGTGAACTCATCGCTCGCATCATGTCCGACGATGAGTACATGCAAATGCCACCGGTGGATAGTGAGAAGCAACTCACCGACTCCGAGAAAGAAACCCTGAAGCAGTGGATCGCCGAGGGGGCTCCGTGGGAAGGTCACTGGTCGTTCATTCCGCCGAATCGACCTCGCGTGCCTGCGGCTGGAGGAGACTGGGCCGAGAATCCGATCGATCATTTCATCTACGCCCAACTTGAAGAAGCCGAACTTCATCCGTCTGAAGAAGCAACCAAGGTGGAGCTGATTCGTCGGGTCACCTTCGACCTGACGGGGCTTCCGCCGACGATCGCTGAGATTGAGAACTTTCTGGCCGACACCAGCGACGATGCCTATGAAACGCTGGTCGATCGCCTGTTAGATTCGCCCCATTACGGCGAACAGATGGCCCGCTACTGGCTCGATGCGGCTCGCTATGGCGACACCCATGGGCTGCATTTGGACAACATGCGGATCATGTGGCCGTATCGCGATTGGGTGATCGATTCGTTCAATAAGAACAAGCGTTTCGACGAGTTCACCGTCGAGCAACTGGCTGGCGATTTATTGCCTGATCCTTCATTGGACCAACTGGTGGCCACCGGGTTCAACCGTTGCAATGTGACGACGAGTGAGGGTGGATCGATCGACGCGGAGTATCTGGTCCGGTATGCGGTCGATCGGGTGGAGACTACCTCGACTGTGTGGCTGGGGCTGACGGCCGGCTGTGCCGTGTGTCACGATCACAAGTTCGACCCTCTCACGATGCGCGACTTCTACAGCATGTTCGCGTACTTCAACAGCCTGACCGAGCGGGCCATGGACGGGAACAAGCCCGACCCGCCTCCGACGATTCAGGTTCCTTCCGACGAACAGAACGAACAGATCGCCGCACTGGACGAGCGGCTTGCCGGCATCGAGGCCCAACTCGCTCAAATTTCGCCCGAGGTAGATGCGGCCCAGCAGATTTGGGAATCGGACTGGTCGCAGAAACTTACTGCCAACTGGAGTGTGCTGAGCCCCATCGAGAGCAAATCGACCGGCGGGGCAACACTGCGAAAGTTGGAAGACGCCACGCTATTGGTCGAGGGAAACAATTCGACCCAGGACACCTACGAACTGGTGGCCCACACCGATGCCCAGAACATTGTCGCCCTGCGACTCGAAGCGCTGACCCACGAGGGCCTCCCCAACTCGGGCCCGGGACGTTCGCCCAACGCGAACTTCGTGCTGAGCGAAATTGAAGTGGAAGCCGCTCCTCTGAGCGACCCGGAGCAGGTGCGGCCGCTACAGTTTGCTTCGGCGGTGGCCGACTATTCGCAGCCCACTTACGACGTGGCTCAGGCCATTGATGGACAAGTCGGCCCGACGAATGGTTGGGCAGTGGCTGGTCACGAACGGCATGCCAGCGGAACCGCCGTATTCTACCTGGCCGAACCGCTCACCATGCCCAGCGGGGCTCAATTAAAGATTCGCCTGCGGCACGAGTCGCAGTTCGCCCAACACAACATCGGGCGGTTCCGCCTGGCAGTCTCCAGCGACGCCGTGCTGTCGCCGGCTCGCTTCGGCACCTGGAACAGCATTGGGCCGTTCGCCGAAGCCGATGGTAACAAAGCCTTCGAGCGGGCTTTCCCGCCGGAAGAAGGCGTGCAGCTCGACCAAGCGTACAACGATGGCCAACTGAAGTGGAACCAGCGGGGTGACATGAAGGATGGCGAAGCCGTTTCGTTCGAGGGTGAAAATGCGGCCACGTACTTCCATCGCACAATTCACGTACCCGAAGCCCGACAAATTACGCTCGGCATGGGAAGCGACGATGCGATCAAGGTGTGGCTCAATTCGAGCCTGGTTTTGGAACGCAATGTTCAACGCGGTGCTACCCCGAATGAAGAACGCGTGGTGTTGGAACTGAAGCCCGGCAAGAACGACTTGCTGGTGAAGGTGGTCAACTACGCCGGCCCGGGTGCGTTTGTTTGTCAGACGTTGGACGAACGTACGGGTGAGCTTCCGCTGAATGTGGCGATGATTCTTTCCACGCCGCGCGAGAATCGCTCGCAAGAACAATCGCAGGCGGTGGCCGATTTCTACCGCACGACATTCGCGCCCGAGTGGCAATCGACCAATGCTCAGGTGGCGCAGGTTCGCAAGCAGCGGGAAGACCTGCTCGCCTTGGCTCCCACGTCGCTGATCATGCAAGACATGCCCGAGCGTCGTCCGGCGTATGTGCTGATTCGCGGGCAATACGACCAGCCGAGTGATATCGAAGTGCAACCCGATGTGCCGGCGAGCCTGCCGGGCATGCCGGAGGATGCCCCCAAGAATCGGCTGGGGCTGGCCCAGTGGTTGGTCGATCCGGGCAATCCGCTCACCTCACGGGTGACGGTGAACCGATTCTGGCAGCGTTACTTTGGTTATGGAATTGTTCGCACTCCGGAAGACTTCGGTTCGCAGGGCGAATGGCCGTCGCATCCGCTGCTGCTGGATTGGCTGGCCACCGAGTTCATCGAAAGCGGCTGGGACGTGAAAGCTATGCAGCGGCTGATGGTCACATCGGCCACGTATCGGCAATCGGCCAAAGTCACCCCTGAGCTACTCGAACGCGATCCGCAGAACCGGCTGCTGGCCCGTGGGCCGCGGTACCGGATGGACGCGGAAATGATTCGCGACAATGCGTTGGCTGTGTCCGGGTTGCTTGTTCGCGATATCGGCGGGCCGAGCGTGAAGCCGTATCAGCCCTCGGGTATTTGGAAGGCCGTGGGGTATACGTCCAGCAATACGGCGAACTTTAAACGGGATGACGGCGAGGCTCTTTATCGCCGCAGCATGTATACGTTCTTGAAGCGTACGGCTCCGCCACCGGCGATGCAGACGCTCGATGCCCCCAACCGCGAATCGTGCACGGTACGTCGGGCCCGGACCAACACGCCACTGCAGGCCCTGCTGCTGATGAACGATGTGCAGTTCATCGAAGCGGCCCGTTGCCTGGCCGAGCGGATGATGACTGAGGGGGGCGATGATGCTGCCTCGCGAATTCGCTTCGGGTTCCGGTTGGCCACTTCGCGGGTGCCTAGCGACGAAGAAGTCGCCGTGATGGAGGCCGCCTACAACGACCACTTGGCCGAGTTCCAAGCTAAGCCACTGGCGGCCGGGCGACTGGTCGAGATGGGTGAAGCCCCCCGCGATGGTGCGCTGAACGTGAACGAACTGGCTGCATGGACGATGGTGGCCAATTTAATTCTCAACCTGGACGAAACAATTACCAAGGGTTAGCCGACGTCCCTGAACCGATCGAGAACTAATAGGCAATTCGCACTGCTGGACAAGCCAGCAGTGGCACCCAAGCAGAGATTGAAAGCTGGTGCAGGAGAGTCGCCTGGTGCATTCAACACAACCAAACACCTTCCTACCCCAAAGGACGAAAGCGATGGATCTCCGCAGAGAACACGCTTTGTTGCAAACACGTCGCCACTTTTTCGGCCGCACGGCAACTGGGATTGGCGTGGCCGCGTTGGGCTCGCTGTTAAACCCTCAGCTTTTCGGCGGCGAGACGCTCGATGCGGATCGCACGGTACCGGGGGTGTTGAGTAAGCCGCATTTTCCGGCCAAGGCCAAACGGGTGATCTACCTGTTCATGTCGGGGGCACCCTCTCAACTCGACATGTACGACTACAAGCCGAAGATGGTCGACATGTTCGACAAGGATCTGCCCGACTCGATCCGCTCGGGGCAACGCATCACCACGATGACCTCGGGACAGGACCGGTTGCCGATCGCGCCGTCGATGTTCAAGTTCGCCCAACATGGGCAACAGGGGGCGTGGATTAGCGAACTGCTACCGCATACGGCGACCATTGCCGACGATATTGCGATCATCAAGACGGTGAACACGGAGGCCATCAATCACGATCCGGCCATCACCTACATTCAAACCGGCTCGCAGCAGCCGGGCCGACCCAGCCTGGGGGCGTGGCTGTCTTATGGGCTTGGCAGTTCGAACCGCGACTTGCCGGAGTTCGTGGTGTTGCACTCCACCTGGTCGGCGAAGCGCGATGCGCAGGCGTTGTACTCGCGGTTGTGGGGAGCTGGGTTCCTGCCTTCGAAACATCAGGGCGTTTCGCTGCGTTCCAGTGGCGACCCGGTGCTGTACCTTTCGAACCCCGACGGCGTCGAGTCTTCGACCCGACGGCGGATGCTCGATGCGTTGGCCGAGCTGAACCGCAAAAAGCAAGAAGAGATCGGCGATCCAGAGATCAACACGCGCATCGCCCAGTACGAAATGGCCTACCGCATGCAGACGTCGGTGCCCGAGCTGACGAATATTGCCGACGAGCCGCAGCATGTGCTCGACATGTACGGCCCCGACGTAAAAACGCCCGGCACGTTTGCTGCCAATTGCTTAATGGCCCGACGACTGGCCGAGCGGGATGTGCGGTTCGTGCAGGTGTTCATCCGCGGCTGGGATCAACACGGCAACCTGCCTAACGATATCAAGCTGCAATGTGGTGACATCGACCAACCGTGTGCGGCATTGGTCAACGACTTGAAGCAACGTGGCATGCTCGACGATACGCTGGTCATCTGGGGCGGTGAGTTCGGGCGAACGATCTACTGCCAAGGCAAGCTGACGAAAACGCAATACGGCCGCGACCATCATCCCCGGTGCTACACTATGTGGATGGCCGGCGGCGGCGTGAAGCCGGGTATCACTTACGGCGAGACCGACGATTTCAGCTATAACGTGGTCCGCGATCCGGTTCACATTCACGACCTCAACGCCACGGTGCTGCACTGCCTGGGCATCGATCACGAGCGGCTCACGTATCGCTTCCAGGGTCGAGACTTCCGCCTGACCGACGTTCACGGTCGGGTAGTGAACGAAATTCTCGCTTGATGCCTTCGCCGCTCCGGCGTGGTAAACTCTGCCCTGGCATGATGGGCATGCGAGTGTGTCGGTGCAGTCTTCATCCGTGCTGTGATTGACTTGCTCTTTCGCTCCGATTCGCACTGCTGGACTAGCCAGCAGTGGCACCCACATGTTTTCCGTATGCTTCAATTCCATCAGTGCATTGACATACTACAGACCTGAACTTTCGTTTACGGAGCCAACTTCATGAAGGCTGTTTGCTGCAACGAACTGGGGGAGCCCTCGGGCTTGAAGATCGAAGAAGTCGAACAGCCGAAGGCGGCGCAGGACGAGGTGCTGATCAAGGTTCATACGGCGGCTTTGAACTTTCCCGATGTGTTGATGATCGCCGGCAAGTACCAGGTGCAGCCCCCCCTGCCCTACACCCCGGGGTTGGAAGTTTGCGGCACGGTCGAGGGTTTGGGCCCGGGCGTTTCGGGGTTCGATGTCGGACAGCGTGTGATGGCGCAAGTTCCCATGGGCGCGTTTGCCGAGTACGCGGTGGCTCCCGCAATTGCTACGCGTGAAGTGCCCGAGGGGATGAACGACGACGAAGCGGCTGCCTTCCCGTTGGTGTATCAAACGTCGTACTTCGCATTGGCCTATCGGGGGCAACTGAAAAAGGGCGAGACGGTGCTCGTGCACTCTGCCGCCGGCGGGGTGGGGCTGGCCGCCGTGCAATTGGCCAAGGCGCTGGGGGCCGGCAAAGTGATCGGCACCGCGGGCTCCGACGAAAAACTGGAAGCGGTGAAGGCGGCCGGGGCTGACGTGGCAGTGAACTACAACACGGAAGATTTCGTGGCCGTGGTGAAAGACCAAACCGACGGGCGGGGGGCCGACGTAATCTTCGACCCCGTTGGTGGAGAAGTCGCCGAGCGAAGCACCAAGTGCATTGCGTTCGAAGGCCGGATCGTGATCATCGGCTTCACCAGCGGCGAGTTCACCAACTTCCGGTCAAACCACATTCTGGTGAAGAACTACAGCGTGGTCGGGCTGCACTTCGGCTACTACCGGCAGATGGACCCGGGGCGAATTCAACAGGGTTGGAAGGAACTGATCGAGATCTACAACACCGGCGCACTCAAACCGCTGGTGGGTGCCCGATACCCCATGGAGCAGGTTGCCGCCGCCATGGAGCATCTAACTTCGCGGAACGCAATCGGCAAGATCGTACTGCACTGGTAGAGCACAGCCCTGCCAGATTGACCCGTGGTTCAGTCGCCGACGGCCGCCACCACGGTTTTTTCCGGCGTACGGACCACGTGGATCTGGTCCTCGCCGGTCACCTCGACGGTGAATTCCTGGCCGTAGACGGAGACGGTTTTCTTGCCATCGACGTGGAAGTGTGCGCGGTAGGTCGGGTTGTCGATGTCTGAAAAGTTGACAATGTACCCACCGCCGCGGACCAGCATCCGCGAACAGGGCAACATCCCGTCGAAATGCAGCCCCCAGAAGGTGTCGCCTGTGCCGAGGGTGAGTTCGTCGGGTTCCTTGGTCGGGTCGACGGTGACTGCAACGGTTTGAATCTCCTCAGGCACCGCCAGCTCTTCCGCAGACGCTGGGGCCCGATTCTGAATCACCGTGGCGGTAACCCACGCTGAAGCGACCCCGATACACACACAGCCGAAGAACATGCCGAGATTTTTCATGGCACACCTGGTAGCGAACTCTGAGAGGGGAGTGATGCACGAGGGGAAAAACCCTCTATCTAAATACATAGGTTAAAATCGCGCCACGTGCCACAAATATGAATCACCCCAGGGCAGGAAGGCGTTTCTGCGGTGCCTTACAGGCAGTGCAAACCGCACTCCTGGGACGGAAAGCCGGCAGTGCGAGCTGAGATTGTGAATCTTGGAACGAAGATATGACGTGACGAGGTTTGTATATCACCTAGTCTCGGCCACAATAAGCAGCGTCAGCCAGAAGGGGCAGGCTGCGTGCTTGCCATGCGAAGGCACCGGTACACCGAAGGAGGTCGCCATGCTCAAGCCAGTACTCATTGGTATTCTTCTCGTGTCTGGAAGCTTCTCCTCTACGTGGGCAGAGGATTCCACCCTCGAATCGATCGCCGACCGATACGAATCACAGCAGCAGCTTGCCGACGAGCGTATGGAAAGTGCAGAGACGTCTGAGGAGCGTGAAGCCGCATTCATCAAACTCCACCCGGTCAATATGTTTGTCGACGATTTTTTGGCGGTGGAGCAAGCGCACCGTGGCAAACCTGCGGCAATCAGCGCGCTTTCGAACTTGATGCGCAATGCTTGCGGTGTGGGAAACCCAGAGTTTCCTGCCTCACAAGGTCGGGTGAAGGCTATTGAGATTCTCAGGGAACATTACCTGGAGCATCCCGATCTGGACCTGATGCTGAACACATTTCACGCGGGCACATTCGTTCCCGAAGCAGAAACGTTGTTACGCGATGCGACGAAAAGCCCGCATCGACATGTTCGGGCGGCAGCTCGGTACTATCTGGCCAGCTTCTTGAATCTCAAGGCGACCTTATGGGATACGTTTGGCCCAGGCTCAGCGATTCCCGAGGCAGTATCTAACGGTGAGCCTTACTTGCTTGAACACATCAAGAGAATGCGAAAGCAGGTCAAAGGACTTGCGATCGATCCGGGTGCCGCGCGTGACGAGGCACTACTAATCATCGAAGAACTCATCTCGCAGGATTCGGATGTTGAGCAAGCATATACTCAAAATGATCCACAAAAGCTGGATTTCGAACGAGCGGATCCAACAAAATTGGCAGTCCAACCCAGAACCTATGCCGACCTAGCCAAAGCTTTACAATTTGAAATTCAACGGCTGCAACCCGGACAGACTGCACCCGAGATCACGGGCGTCGATGTCGACGGCTTGGAATTCAACCTTAGTGACTATCGAGGTCGGGTTGTGTTGCTGATCTTTTCAGCTAACTGGTGCGGCCCCTGCAAGGCGATGTACCCGGACCTGCGTAAGCTACTGGCGGAGTTGGACGACAAACCCTTCGCCGTGCTTGCTGTGATGGGTGACCGAGAATCAAATACGGTCGTCGAGGCAACCGATAATGGCGACATACGCTGGCGGACGTGGTTCGATGGTTACAAAGGTCCGATTGCCAGAACATGGAATGTCCATAGCTGGCCAACGTTCGTCGTCATCGATCACAACGGCACAATCGTGAATCGAGACGGGTTTGCGACTACCTATGAGAACTTCCGAGAGGTGATCGACCCGCTGCTGGCTGCTCAACAGGATGATCCCGACTCACAAGAATTGTTGGATAGTCATCCGCTTCCCGAATTACCAAGTCTTAGTCGGGCGGAATAGCAGCCCAAAGAAGTACTTCTCTAGCTCAGGCCCGAGGATAGATCGGAGTTTGTTGAGAAAATGTGACCTCTGAGTTGCCGATAGATTTGGTCATTTCGTTCGTCTTTATGCCTTCAATATAACATCAAAACTCCTTCGCTGGGCTTGTTGACGTTACCAATCAAATGGTCGACTTCCGAGAAGATGATTGCCCGAATGCTTGGACTCCCGCCGGCAACGAAATCACGCAAAAGGGTGAGGTGACACCCTGCACGACTTGTCGCGGAGGGTGCCACCCCGTTTTACTCGAATGGGGACGGGGGGCGGCCTTTAGAGCGGGCTGCCGTTGAGGACGTAGTTCGAAAATGGTTCGGCGATACCGCCGGGTTGGGCGACGAATCCGAAGAAGATCGCCTGGCCGGGTGCGACGTCGCGATTCCAGGAGGCCCCGCGAATTACGTAGGTGTTGCCGACGTGCGAGACGATTTCGGCGTTCCAGATGTCGGTGATCTCTCCGGCGAAGGTGAATTCAAGCGTCCAGTTCTGCCAGGTTTCTTCGGTGCTGTTTTCCACCTCGATCGCCCCCTGGAATCCGCTATTCCAGTCGTTCACCACCGAGAAGTTCACTTCGGATGTGGGGGCTGGCCAGTCGTCATCGACAATGGTGCCGGTTCCTACCGGCGTGGCGATCGCTCCACTGGAAGTTGAGGTGAGCACAAGCTGGAAGGTTTCGTTCGACTCGATGGTGGTATCTCCAAGAACCGGAACGGCCACTGTTTTCGTCGTTTCACCAACTTGGAACACCACCTGCCCTGTGGTCGCCTGGTAGTCGGCTCCGGCGGTGGCGGTGCCATTGCGGGTCTCATAGGAAACCGTGATCGGCGCGGTTGCCGGCTTGTTCAGTGAGATTGCGAAGACTGCCTGCGAGGTGCCGGAGCTGCCTTCGGCCTGGGTCGCATTGCCTACGGATACCAACACGTCGGTATTGGCCGGGGTCACGGTTACGTTCACGGTGGTGACGGTGGTTGCTCCGGCGTTGTCGAGCACGGTGTAGGTAAAGCTGTCGCTGCCAGAGAACCCGGCATTGGGCGAGTAGGTGATGGTACCGTCGCCGTTGTCGGCCACGCTGCCTGCAGTGGCCTGCGTGAAGGAGGTGAGCGATCCCCCTGCTCCGCCGAGGTTCGAGGGGTCGAAGAAGTTCCCACTGAGAACCAGCAGGCTGAGCATCGAAACGGAGTCGGAGTAGTAGTTCGTATGTGTGGTGGCCACGCTGTCGAACACTGCATTGAGCCACTGCTGATCGGCAGCGTCGCTTCCGGTCATGGCAGATACGCCAACGGTCGCACGGAAGAACGGGTCGCTCCAGGGATTCAACGGCGTACCGTCAAGTTCGTAGCCGCCGAGAATCTGTGAGGGATTCCCTCCTGAGGATTGCTGGAAGAACTCTGACAGTTTCTGAGCCTGAGCTGTGGAGGTTGGGTCGCCACTGAGCACGGCATCGGTGCCGTACCGCCATGGGACTCGTCCGGCGTTATACCAATAGCGGTTGTCGTTCTGCTCGAGGAATCCTGAGGGGGCCGGAGAAACGTTGCCGGTGTTCGGGTCGACGATGACGAAGTCGGGGACAAGCCCCGTGCGGTATTGTTGTTGCAGCTTGGTGACGACTTCCTGGGTGGCGGTGATTACTTCGCCCCATCGACTGTCGCCGGTTGCGGCCTCGAACGATCGAAAGTGACCGTACATGAAGTCGCTGGTGCGGGTGGTCCACTGGCTGTACTGCCCTCCGTTGGGATTGACCCAATCACCGAGCATCGGCAAGTGGCTTTGCGGACCGATCGTCGACTCGTACATGGCATCGATGATTCGGATGGCTTCGGCCAGGTAGTTGATTTCGCCGTCGCTGCCCCACTGGGCGTCGGCCAGCAGCAGTCCGTAGGCAATGTCGGCGTCGCCATCAAACGCGCTGCTATTTCCGGATGGGTCGGGTTGAGCCCAATCCATCAGGTCGGAATTGCTTTCGCTGGGATTGGCGCGAACGTAGTTGAACAGCCCGTCGAAAATGGCTTGGGCCTCGGGGTCGTACCCGTCCATGTGCGCGACGATCATCATGCCGTAGCCCTGCCCTTCGGAGACAGTGCGGCCGGAGCCATCCATGATCACCCGGTAGCCGTTTCCACCTGGGTCGACTCGCAGCCAGTCGGCTTTCCAGCGGTCGTAGTAATCGCCCACGAGTTGGTCGAGTTCGACCTGCGTGTACTGGCTGGGCAACAGGGTACCCTCGGTGTACACCTGCAGGTGGGTTCCAAAGTCGGGGTCGCCGCCAACCGTGTTCAGCGTGACGGAAGTTTGAAAGGCGGTCGTTACCGAGATGGTCTCATCGACCATCGCGGTGTCGTCGTTCAAGATTGTCCCGGTTCCCGTAGCAGCGCTATCGAGCACCGCCCCAACTGGTGAACTGAGCGTGATGTAAAAGACCTCGTTATCTTCGGTCTCCGTGTCGCCGTTGACGGGTACAGAAATCGTCTTTGTCGTCTCGCCGACGGCGAATTGGATTTGACCGGTGCTGGGTTCGAAATCGTCTCCTAACGTGGCGGTACCGCTTGTGGCCTGGTAGTTGACTTGCACAGCTTCAGTCGCTGCTGCGGAAAGCGATACGGTGAAGGTGGCCAACGAGGTACCAGAATCGCCTTCGGGCAATGTGGCGCTCGAGATACTGACCGTGGGAAGCGTGGGTTCGGTTGTTCCGCTACCGTTGAATGAATAGCCGGAGGGCTGGGTACCGGGCCCGTTGGCGATGAAGCCGATAGTTAATGACTCGCCCGCATCGAGCGTGTCGTTCCAGCTTGGTGGTGTAACGCGGTAGCGACCTCCGCCAAGGTTTTCGAGTTCACCGTGCCAGAGTTGCGTAATGGCGCCGTCGTAATTGAATTCAAGCTGCCAATTCGAGAAGCTTGTGCCTTCATCGTTGGTCAGCGTTAACTCGGCGCGATGGGCGGAGTTCCAATCGTCTGCCACCTGGAAGTTGACATCCGGGGCATTGGAGAGTGGCTGAGCCGCGAGTAGCTCGCGGTTTTCCAGAGATTCGAGTTGTGGTTGATTCTTTGAGAAAGCCTTTCTTGCGGACGAGTTGTTTTTAGTGAGCCATTGCTTGATGCGCGCAAAAAGATCGTTCATGCCTCGTTCCCTGCACCGAAGTGCCCCTCGCGTATGATAACAGGATTATGAATCAGCGACCCTCGATAGGAAGAGAAAGATGAGGGTCAATAATCCTGCATACGAGGGGTAGAGATTGATGGTTCAGAGAAATTTTGGCGAAGAATACCGGCCCTCGCCGAGTAGACGGGAGAAGCAGATCCATCAGCAGAAACTGATCGGTGACTTTGATGCCTGCCGCGAGTGCCTTACGGCCTCTCTGTTGAACCAAGGAGAGACGCTTACTTCTCCAACTCCGGCCCGAGGATGGCTTGGAGTTTGTTGAGCGAGCGAGAGAGCATGACGCGGACTGCGCCGTCGCTCTTGCCGATGCGTTCGGCGATTTCTTTGGATTGGAGGCCTTCGACGTAGCGGAGTCGTAAGGCTTCGCGTTGGTCTTCGGGCAATTGCTCGAGTGCGGTCATGAGCTTGATTTCGCGCTGGTTGCGGGAGAAGGCTTTGCTGGCCGTGGTCATGCTGGCTACGAGAAGATTGATCATGCCGCCGCGGCTGTCGTCGCCGGTGCGGGCGTCGATGGGGACCTCGCGAGCGGCCGAGCGTTTTTGGGCACCGAACAGTCGGCGATGGGCGTCGATGATCCTTCGCTGGGCAAGTTGGCACAGCCAACCAAAGGGGTCGCGTTCGGAAAGATCGATGGCCCCCAGCGAGCGAACGGCCTCGGCGCTGGCTTCTTGCAAGATGTCGTCGGGCTCGACTTTACTTCGCAGCCCGGTACCGAGTTGGCGGTTGATGTAGGCCAGCAGTTGCGGTTGCCGCTCGGCGATGAACTTGCCCAAGGCGTCGGCGTCGCCCTCTCGCACGCGAGCTTCCAAAGTGTTAGTCGGTTCCGGCATGATCGGTTCCTGCAGTTGATGGTTTGGTGCCTCGCCCCCAGTGTCCAAGCGCGAAAACGCCGCCAACGTTTCGCGCTTCCAGACGACTTCGACTTGTGAGGCTGTTAAGCTATTTGTGTTGCGTAGAATGTGCTTCGGCACGCTTGGGTTTGCCACGATCCAAAAAAGCAGGCCGTTTGCGGGCAATTTCACGAAAGAAAACAGGCTGCCGCACGACTCGCCTTGGATGCTGGCTACGAGGATTGTAAATTGCAGCGGCATGTTTGAGAATCTAATACTCAGAACGGATTCGAGTTCGTTCTGTGTGAGCCGCGTGGGCTTCCCCATCTTCTCAGGAACGGTGTCGTGACGATTTCGGATTCGAATCCGACGGTTCGCCTGGACGACGCGTCGAAGGTGTGGGACATCCTGGCCGAACGCATCGACTCGCTCATCGAGGGCTGGGAGGCCGTGGGCGACCCTCCGGCGTTGAAAGAGTTCCTGCCCGAGAGCCCCCCCAACTTGCGGTACTTGGCGTTGGTCGAGTTGATCAAGGTCGATTTGGAGTATCGCTGGAAGCGCCACAATCTGCCGCGAAAGGTGGAAGAGTACGCGGCCGAGTTCCCCGAGTTGTGCGGCGAGGGTGGGATTCCTTCGGACTTGATCTATGAGGAGTATCACGTTCGCACCGGGATGGGCGACCCGCCGACGCCGGAGGAATACTTCGAGCGGTTTCCCGATCGGGTGGACGAACTGAAGCAGTTGATGGGGCTGCATTCGCCGAACGTGACGACCTCGATGTTTGCCGCATCGAAGGCTCCCAAGGTGAATGTGGGCGACAAGATCGATGATTTCGATCTGCTGGCCGAGTTGGGATCGGGGGCGTTCGCCACCGTGTACCTCGCCCGGCAGAACTCGCTGCAGCGGTTGGTGGCCTTGAAGATTTCGGCCGACAGTGGAACCGAACCTCAAACGCTAGCCCAACTCGATCATCCTCACATCGTGCGGGTGTACGATCAACGGGTTCTCTCCGACCCTCCAGTGCGACTGCTTTATATGCAGTATGTGGCCGGCGGCACCATGCAACGAGTGGTGCAAATGGTGCGGCAAACGCCAGCTTCTGAACGCACAGGTAAGATTTTGTTTGAAGCGGTCGATCGCGCATTGGAACTTCGGGGAGAATCGGCCCCGGAGTCGAACTCGACGCGGTCGCGACTCTCGCGGAGCAGTTGGCCGGAAACGGTTTGCTGGCTGGCCGTGCGGATGGCCTCCGCCTTGGGATACGCACATCGTAAAGGTGTGCTGCACCGCGACATCAAGCCGGCCAATGTGTTGCTGGCAGCCGACGCGACCCCGAAACTGGTCGACTTTAATATCAGCTTCAGTTCGCAGCTCGATGGGGCAACGCCGGCGGCGTACTTCGGCGGGAGCCTGGCGTATATGTCGCCCGAGCAGTTGGAGGCTTGCAACACCAAGCACCCCCGTGAGGCGGCCGACTTGGATGCCAGGGCCGACATCTATTCGCTGGGGGTGATGCTGTGGGAGTTACTCTGCGGGCAGCGGCCCTTCCTTGATGAGGAAGTGGGCGTGGGATGGACCGCCACACTCGAAGCGATGACCGACAGCCGGCGGGAAGGGGTTCCGCAGAAGTCGATCGACGCGCTACCGGCTGATTTGCCCTCGGGGATGAAGGAAGTGCTGCTGGATTGTATCTCGCCCGATATCGAACAGCGGCCCAAGACGGCCGACGAACTGGCCCGCCAGCTTTCGCTGTGCCTGCAACCGCATGCTCAACAGTTGCTGCGGCCCAAGGGTTTCGGCTGGCGGCAAGTGGTGCGGATCATTCCCGCGATAACGCTCTCGCTGGCGGCGCTGGTGCCGAATATTGCGCTGAGCGTGTTCAATATTTTGTACAACGTCAAAGCGATTGAAGAGCTTCTCAAGGATCCAAAGCTGATCCAGTTCTTTTGGAGCGTGATGGTCGGCTCAGTGAACTCTCTGGCCTACAGCGTGGGGCTGGCGTTAGCCATCGGAATGGCGTTGCCCGTGATACGGGCGCTGTGGAAATTAAGGCGGAAGCAGGAAATCCCGAACGAGAACTTGCCGTTCATCCGACGAAGGTGTTTGTCGATCGGCAATATAGTCTCCTGGATTGTTATTGCGCTGTGGGTAGCTAGCGGAATTGGGATTCCAGTTGGATTGGAGTATGGAGCAAGTTCGCCATCGGGACTGCCTTGGAATATCTACCTGCACTTATTTATTTCGCAAGTCTTGTGCGGATTGATCGCGGCCACGATCACTTTCTTCTTGATGAGCCTGGTTTGTATCCGTTCTTACTACCCGTTACTGCTGCGGCCTGAATCGATTGTGGAAGAGGACGCCGACGCCCTGCGAACGTTTGAACGCAGAGTGTGGGTGCAGTTTGGGCTTTCGATTTCGGTGCCGATTGTGGCCACGCTTGTGGTAGCGATTTCGAACCTGCCCCGCGAATTGATGTGGGTACAAACCGTGATTGCCGCGATCGGCCTCGGCAGTTTTGGGTTTGCTTTCTGGATGCTGCGGACAATTCAGGCCGACGTCGCAGCGCTGCTCACCACGGTGGGCCCGCCACGGGATGCGTTGTCTTCGAGCGACACGATGGATTCGTTTTGGACGGATAGCCGGTAGGAGTTTTCCCTGGGTGCCACCGGATCTTGATCCGGTGCGGCGCAGCCGCTCGAGGTGGTGTGTGGGGGCGGCTACGTCTTTGAAGGTCTACACCCACTCTTGCCGAAGCTGTAGCGGGAAGGTTGAAAACCCCGTTGGGGTTCCTTGAACTCCATTGGCCCTGGCTACCCAGGGTGCGCTGCGCGACCCTGGGCTTTGTTGTACTATGCCTTTGGCATAGTGGAGTGGGTTATCACTTATACCGTGGCGGCAAAGCGGTTATCTGGCAGAAGTCGCTAACTACGAATTACGCCAACGGCTTATCACAACAGAGCCCAGGGTTGCGCAGCGCACCCTGGGAAAACGGTCGGAGGCAACTGGATAAACCCCAACGGGGTTTTACCTCGGTTGACTCGCATCTGCGGGAACATGAGAGTGCGGCAGGAGGTCTTACAGCCGAGCGAGACCTCTTGTCGACTTCGTCGACCCAGCTTCGAGAAGCTGGGCTACCCATCTGGCGGAAACACTGACCTGAGATTAGGCGAGGATCTCTTCGACTACGCGGCAGGGTTGATTGTTGGTGAGGAGGTGGTCGACGCCGTTGTGGTGGTAGATGAGCTTCTGGTGGTCCATGCCGAACAGGTGCATCAGCGTGGCCTGGTAGTCGTTGGGGCTGACTTTGTTCACTTCGGCACGGTGGCCGACTTCGTCGGTTTCGCCGTAGGTCATGCCGCCGCGGATGCCGCCGCCGGCGAGCCACATGGAGAAGCCTTGCCCGTTGTGGTCGCGACCGGCCTTGCTGATGTCGCCGGGGTTTTCGACCACGGGCAGACGACCGATTTCGCCGCCGAAGTGCACCAGCGTAGAGTCCAACAGTCCTCGCTCTTTGAGGTCCTTCACCAGTGCGGCGGCCGGTTGATCGGTCTTCGCACAGCAAGAAGTAAGGCTGTTGCGAATGTCGTTGTGGTTGTCCCAAATCTGTCCGGCGACGAACAACTGCACGAACCGCACGCCGCGCTCGACGAGTCGGCGGGCGATGAGGCAACGCTTGCCGTACTCGCGGGTCGCATCTTGATCCAGGCCGTAGAGCTTCTGCGTGGCTTCGCTTTCGCTGGAGATATCGAGGGCTTCTTTTGCAGCCACTTGCATGTTGGCGGCCAGTTCGTAGCTGGCGATGCGGGCTTCGAGATCGGCCTCGCCGGGGTGGCGCTCCAAGTGTTGGCGGTTGAGCTTATCGAGCAGCGCCAGGTTCTGTTCCTGCAATGTGCCCCGCAGGTGTGGCGGTGGGTCGAGGTTGAGGATTCGCGGCTCTTGGGCACGCACGACGGTGCCTTGATACAGCGGGGGCATCCATCCGTTGGACCAGTTGCGAACGCCATCGACGGGCAAGCCGCCGGGGTCGCGAAGCACGACGTAGGCCGGCAGGTTCTGGCTTTCGGAGCCCAGGGCATAGGTGAGCCAGGAACCCAAGGCTGGGCGGCCGGGCTGGGCTTTGCCGGTGTTCATGAACCAGATCGATGGTTCGTGCCCGTTGATGTCGGTGTGCATCGAACGGATGAGGCAGATGTCGTCGACAATTTCGGCCGTATGCGGGAGAAGCTCGGAAAGCTCGGTACCGCATTCTCCGTGCTTTTGGAATTTCCAAGGGCTGCCCATTAACTGCTTGGTGGCGCGATTGATGAAGCTGTGTTTGATTTCGCCGGAGTAATCGGTGCCGCTGAGTCGGGTCAGTTCGGGCTTGGGGTCGAACAGGTCGACGTGGCTGGGGCCGCCGTGCATGAACAGCGAGATCATCGCCTTCGCGCGGGGCTCTTTCATCGGCTCTTTCGGCGTGAGATCGAACGAAGGTCTTTCCCGCGGAACGTGCGGCGCGGCGAGTAACTTTTCGTCGTGCAGCAGCGAGGCCAACGCCACCGAGCCGATACCCATCGCGCTGCGGGCCAGAAAGCTGCGGCGATTGGGGATGTGGGGGTTGTGGTATTCGCTGGTCATGGGGTTAATCCACGTAGAGGAATTCGTTCGAGCTGAGCAACACCTGGCACAGGTTCGTCACGGCTTGAAGCTGTTGATCGGCCGGGCTGAGCTTGGCGGCGTCTTCGGTGGCTTGGGCCGTTTGCTCTGCCAGGTGAGCGACTTGATGGTTGAGAAACGTCAGAGCGTCGTCACGTTCGGTGGGGTTCGCGGGGCGTTGGAACGCCAACTGCCAGGCCCGATCGACCTGGGCTGGGAGTTCGCCGCCGGCCTCGCGTTGCAATCGTTGGGCGAATAGCTTGGCCTGCTGCAGTTGGAATTCGCTGTTCATCATCAGCAGGGCCTGCGTGGCCACGGTGGAAGATGGACGCTGCAGGCAGTTGGTTTCCATCACCGGGGCATCGAACGTGCTGAGCACCGCCACCGGTTGGCTGCGACGCACCTGAACGTACACGCTGCGGCGGTAGGCTTTGCTTTCGGTGGGCGACGGGGCCGCGCCGTCTTCGGCCACAACCACCTGCCCCACATCATCGGCCGCAATGGGGCTGGCCGGGCCGTACATGTCGAGGTTCAGCACTCCGCTGGTGGCGAGGATCGAGTCGCGGATCACCTCCGCGTCGAGCCGGCGAACGTTCATACGGCTGTAGAGCTGATTGTCGTAGTCGATCGCGTCGGCCGCTTCGGTTCGTTGCGACGATTGGCGATACGCGGTGGAGTTCATGATCAGTCGGTGCAGCGACTTCAGCGACCAGCCTTCGGCCACGAACTCGTCGGCCAGCCAATCAAGCAGTTCCGGATGCGTGGGGCGGGAACCGAGATTGCCAAAGTCCGAGGGGGTATCGACGATGCCACGGCCGAAATGGTGCATCCATACGCGGTTCACCGTTACTCGGGCGACCAACGGATGCTCGCCATTAGTGAGCCAGCGGGCGTAAGCCAAACGCCGACCGGTAGTAGGCAGCGATGGGTCGTCGGCCGGGATCGGCGAGGGGGCAGCATCGTCGCGTTTGCAGATGGTCAGCACCCCGGGGGCGATCTCGTCGGTGGGTTGGCGATAGTCGCCGCGGTGGAAGAGGAACGTAGTCGGGAGATGATCGGGCGTTTCGGTCAGGGCTCGAATGAACTCTTCAACCGGCTTGCGTGCTCGAACTGCGGCGATCTGCTCGTCCATCTTCTTCAGTTCGTCGGCCGCCTTCTGGTTGTATTGATAGAGGTTGCCAGCACTGATGTTCACGCTGGGGTACTCGGCCAGCAGCTTGGCCTGATCGGGGCTGCGGTTGCCCCCGGCCGTGCGAAAGGCGATTCGCAGCGGCTCGCGAAGTTCGGCGGGATGACGCTGCAGCTCGACTTCGAGGGCCTCGGTGATGAATTGCTCGAGCTTCTCGGTACGCCCTTTAACGATCTCCGTGGCTTCGGCCTCGATGGCGGCGGCCTGTTGGCGATCTGCGTCGGTGTAGAGCGAGATGCCGCGTTGGGGTGGCGTGCGCCAGGCTTTCCAATCCAGGGCCGGCTCGAGCACCGCGCGAAGTCGGTAGTAGTCGGCCTGCAGGATGGGGTCGTAGCGATGGTCGTGGCACTCGGCACAACCAACGGACATTCCCAGCAGCGAGGTGGAGACGATTTTGATGGTGTCGGCCATCACCTGGTTGCGAGCTACATCCTGGTCGATGCCGCCGGTGGCGGTGCCGTCGGCGGCCATGCGGAGATAGCCGGTGGCGGTGAGCAGGTCTTTCTCCTCGGGCGTGAGTTCGGCATAAGGCGGTTCGATCATCTCGTCACCGGCCAGTTGCTGGCGGACGAACTCGTCGAACGGCATGTCGGCGTTCAGCGCGCGAATAACCCAATCGCGATATCGATAGGCGTGGGGACGCATTGCATCGGCGTCGGTGTAGCCTTCGCTGTCGGCATAGCCGGCCGCATCGAGCCAGTGCCGGCCCCAGCGCTCGCCGTAATGGGGCGAGTCGAGCAGGCGGTCGACCATTCGCTCATAGGCATCGGGCGCCTCGTCGCTGAGGAACGTGGCGACTTCTTCAGGCGTTGGTGGTAAGCCCGTGAGGTCGAAGGTGGCCCGACGTAGCAACGTCAGCCGGTCGGCGGTCTCGCTGAGCGTTAGACCTGCGGGTTCCAGCCGGGCCAGCAAGAAGGCATCGACGGGCGTGCGGATCTGAGCGGTGTGCTCAACACTGGGCATCGCCGGACGGCGGACGGGCTGGAAGGCCCAATACTCGCGGTCTTCGGGAAGGATGCGAACGCCGGCTTCCAGCGTCTCGGGCTCGGGCCGCGCGGTGGGGGCTCCTTGATTGATCCAATCGGCGATGGTTTTCACCTGCTCGGCGGTGAGCGGTTCGCCTTTGGGGGGCATCTCGCCAGAGGCCACGCGTTCGTAGAGATAGCTGTTCACCGCATCGCCGGGCAGCACGGCCGCGCCGGAGTCGCCCCCGCCGACCATGAAGCGTTGCAGGCGAAGATCGAGCCCGCCGCTGGTCTCGCCCTCGCCCCCATGGCAATGGAAGCAGTGGGCCTTGAGTATGGGGCGGATATGTCGCTCGAACGTGAGCGGCTGAGGCTGTTCTGAACTTTCGGCCCAGGCCAACTGCGGAGTGGCAGCGACAATGGCGAGCGCGAAGGAGAACAGCGTCCACCGTCGAAGCACATCCTGGCTGTGCGAGCAGCGGATCATCGGGGAGGTCCTCGTTGTGTCAGCAGGATTCCAGGCAGGCTGGGGCGGAATCCAACAGGTGGGGCTGGGATTAAGCGTCGAGCAGCTCAATCAGCGGGCCATCGACTACGTAAAAGTATCCCCGAAGGGTCCTCGATTTGCAAGAAATGCCGTTTTCCAGGGCCATTGGGCTTCGGTCCGGAATCTCGAACCGTAACGATCGCTACTACCGGATTTCTCGGTCGATCGGCTCGCCAGGCACTTGGGCTGCCTGCATGACAAAGAAGGCTCTCCCGGCCGTGCATTGCTCAAAACTGCCCATGCGTTAAGCTGAGCTAAGATTTGGGTTTCGGGCCGCAATGTTTAGGCGGCTGATGGGGTTTCGAGGTGA